TTCATTTGCGAGCGCCGATGACCGATGATGCTCGCAACCCTCCCACGCCCTTGTTGGCTTGGCAAGAGGACCAGACAAGCGCAGCCACGTGATCTGTTGGAAGAAAATCGCTCGGAACGAGCGCTAGTACCCCCAAAACGCGGAAGGATCCTCACATGTGCACGAAGTGCAGCGGGCGCTCTTCATTCGCGAGCGCCGATGACCGATGATGCTCGCAACCCTTCTACGCCCTTGCTGGCTTGGCAAGAGGACGAGACAAGCGCAGCCACGTGACTTGGCGGAAGAAAAACGCTTGGAATGAGCGCTTCTACCCCCAAAATGCTGAAGGATCCGCATTCGTGCAGGAAGTGCAGCGGGCGCTCTTCATTTGCGAGCGCCGATGACCGATGATGCTCGCAACCCTCCCACGCCCTTGCTGGCTTGGCAAGAGGACTAGACAAGCGCAGCCACGTGATCTGTTGGAAGAAAATCGCTCGGAACGAGCGCTAGTACCCCCAAAACGCGGAAGGATCCTCACATGTGCACGAAGTGCAGCGGGCGCTCTTCATTTGCGAGCGCCGATGACCGATGATGCTTGCAACCCTCCCACGCCCTTACTGGCTTGGCAAGAGGACCAGACAAGCGCAGCCACGTGATCTGTTGGAAGAAAATCGCTCGGAACGAGCGCTAGTACCCCCAAAACGCGGAAGGATCCTCACATGTGCACGAAGTGCAGCGCGCGCTCTTCATTCGCGAGCGCCGATGACCGATGATGCTCGCAACCCTCCCACGCCCTTGCTGGCTTGGCAAGAGGACCAGACAAGCGCAGCCACGTGATCTGTTGGAAGATAATCGCTTGGAACAAGCGCTAGTACCCCCAAAACGCGGAAGGATCCTCACATGTGCACGAAGTGCAGCGGGCGCTCTTCATTCGCGAGCGCCGATGACCGATGATGCTCGCAACACTTCCACGCCCTTGCTGGCTTGGCAAGAGGACCAGACAAGCGCAGCCACATGACTTGGCGGAAGAAAAACGCTTGGAATGAGCGCTTCTACCCCCAAAATGCTGAAGGATCCGCATTCGTGCAGGAAGTGCAGCGGGCGCTCTTCATTTGCGAGCACCGATGACCGATGATGCTCGCAACCCTCCCTCGCCCTTGCTGGCTTGGCAAGAGGACCAGACAAGCGTAGCCACGTGATCTGTTGGAAGAAATTTGCTCGGAACGAGCGCTAGTACCCCCAAAACGCGGAAGGATCCTCACATGTGCACGAAGTGCAGCGGGCGCTCTTCATTCGCGAGCGCCGATGACCGATGATGCTCGCAATCCTCCCGTACCTTGCTTGCTTGGCAAGAGGACCAGACAAGCGCAGCCACGTGATCTGTTGGAAGAAAATCGCTCGGAACGAGCGCTAGTACCCCCAAAACGCGGAAGGATCCGCACATGTGCAGGAAGTGCAGCGGGCGCTCTTCATTCGCGAGCGCCGATGACCGATGATGCTTGCAACACTTCCACGCCCTTGCTGGCTTGGCAAGAGGACCAGACAAGCGCATCCACGTGACTTGTCGGAAAAAAAATGCTTGGAATGAGCGCTTCTACCCCCAAAATGCTGAAGGATCCGCATTCGTGCATGAAGTGCAGCGGGCGCTCTTCATTTGCGAGTGCCGATGACCGATGATGCTCGCAACCCTCCCACGCCCTTGCTGGCTTGGCAAGAGGACCAGACAAGTGCAGCCACGTGATCTGTTGGAAGAAAAACGCTCGGAACGAGCGCTAGTACGCCCACAACGCAGAAGGATCCTCACATGTGCACGAAGTGCAGCGGGCGCTCTTCATTCGCGAGCGCAGATGACCGATGATGCTCGCAAGCCTTCCACGCCCTTGCTGGCTTGACAAGAGGACCAGACAAGCGCAGCCACATGACTTGGCGGAAGAAAAACGCTTGGAATGAGCGCTTCTACTGCCAAAATGCTGAAGGGTCCCCATTCGTGCAGGAAGTGCAGCGAGCGCTCTTCATTCGCGAGCGCCGATGACCGATGATGCTCGCAACACTTCCACGCCCTTGCTGGCTTTGCAAGAGGACCAGACAAGCACAGCCCAGTGATCTGTTGGAAGAAAATCGCTCGGAACGAGCGCTAGTACCCCCAAAACGCGGAAGGATCCTCACATGTGCACGAAGTGCAGCGGGCGCTCTTCATTCGAGAGCGGCGATGACCAATGATGCTCGCAACCCCTCCACGCCCTTGCTGGCTTGGCAAGAGGACCAGACAAGCGTAGCCACGTGACTTGGCGGAAGAAAAACGCTTGGAACGAGCGCTTCTACCCCCAAAATGCTGAAGGATCCGCATTCGTGCAGGAAGTGCAGTGGGCGCTCTTCATTTGGGTAGCGCCGATGACCGATGATGCTCGCAACCCTCCCACGCCCTTACTGGCTTGGCAAGAGGACCAGACATGTACAGCCACGTGACCTGGTGGAAGAAAAACGCTCAGAACGAGCGCTAGTACCCCCAAAACGCGGAAGGATCCTCACATGTGCACGAAGTGCAGCGGGCGCTCTTCATTCGCGAGCGCCGATGACCGATGATGCTCGCAACACTTCCACGCCCTTGCTGGCTTGGCAAGAGGATGAGACAAGCGCAGCCACGCGACTTGGCAGAAGAAAATCGCTTGGAATGAGCGCTTCTACCCCCAAAATGCTGAAGGATCCGCATTCGTGCAGGAAGTGCAGCGGGCGCTCTTCATTTGCGAGCGCCGATGACCGATGATGCTCGCAACCCTCCCACGCCCTTGCTGGCTTGGCAAGAGGACCAGACAAGTGCAGCCACGTGATCTGTTGGAAGAAAATCGCTCGGAACGAGCGCTAGTACCCCCAAAACGCGGAAGGATCCTCACATGTGCACGAAGTGCAGCGGGCGCTCTTCATTCGCGAGCGCCAATGACCGATGATGCTCGCAACACTTCCACGCCCTTGCTGGCTTGGCAAGAGGACCAGACAAGCGCAGCCACGTGACTTGGCGGAAGAAAAACGCTTGGAATGAGCGCTTCTACCCCCAAAATGCTGAAGGATCCGCATTCGTGCAGGAAGTGCAGCGGGCGCTCTTCATTTGCGAGCGCCGATGACCAATGATGCTCGCAACCCTCCCACGCCCTTGCTGGCTTGGCAAGAGGACCAGACAAGCGCAGCCACGTGATCTGTTGGAAGAAAATCGCTCGGAACGAGCGCTAGTACCCCCAAAACGCGGAAGGATCCTCACATGTGCACGAAGTGCAGCGGGCGCTCTTCATTCGCGAGCGCCGATGACCGATGATGCTCGCCGCGTGCTCCGAAAGTGCGGCGGTTTTCTGCCCGCCGTGCGCCCCGAGGCGCGCGGCGGTTTCCTGCCCCGTCGAACCGCGCGTCGCCCCCTGTCGCCCGTCGCGGAGCCCCCGGGGACCCGCGCGTCGCCCCCCGTCCCCCGACGCGGCCGACGCAACCTGCGCCAGGCCCGCGCGCGGCCCGTACGGGCTGCGCCAGGCCCGCGCGCGGCCCGTACAGCCCGCGCGCGGCCCGTACGGCCTGCGCCAGGCCCGTGCGTGGTCCGTACGGGCTGCGCCAGGCCCGCGCGCGGCCCGGGCAGCCCGCGCGCGGTTCGTCCGGCCTGCGCCAGGCCCGTGCGCGGCCCGTACAGTCTGCCCCAGTGCCGCACGCCGTCCCCCGAGCTTCTGACCGAGCCCTGCCCCCGCTGCTGCCCGCGCTCCTGTGTTAGGGTTTGGGGGTGGAGAGTATGGGGGTGCCGAGTGTGTGTCTCCCACTGCTGCAGCTGCCGCTCAGGGGGGTGGATGTGTTGGAGCCGTCGGAGTGGTACGAGGGGGGTGGCGTGTGAGCGGTGCTAGAGGTTCAACAGGGAGTGTGTGAAAGGGGTGTGGGACAGCTGGGGGAAGTTGAGTGGAGGCAGTCGTCTTGTCGTCCGCAGCGCCTGAAGTCCAGAGAGCCACGACCCCCTGTGGCCGTGTAGTCCGGGGCTCTGCGCCCGGTAGCCACAGTGTGAGCACTCCTGGTAGTCCAGAGAGCCACGACCCCCTGTGGCCGTGTAGTCCGGGGCTCTGCGCCTGGTAGCCACAGTGTGAGCACTCCTGGGAGCACAGCGAGCCAGCTGCGCCTGTCGCCGTGTAGTCCGGGTTTAGCCTGGTAGCGACAGTGCTGCGCACTCCTGTTGCCCGTGTGTCTGCAGCTTCAGCCGTCGTCTCGCATCTTCTCGCCCCCACAGTTTCTCCTCCTCCTCACTTTCTCTTTGTGATAGCCTCTAGCTTTGCTTATAATTGTGAACTACTGCTCTGCCTGCTTGTTGTGTTGATTGTACCCCACTTTGACTATGGGGGTGTGTCAGAATGTGATGTTTGTCTAGCCTGCAGTGGGGTACTTTATAGCGAGTACAGCCCAAATTAGGGTTTGCTATATGTACTCAACTGCCTGCTAGTGAAAACTCCTCTTTCCTGTTTCCGATTCTTGCCTAGTATTTTGACACATAACCCCCCAGGCCAACGTGCTTGTAACCCTTCCCTATAATCAATCGCGGATCTCGAGTGGACCTTCGACAGTGGACTCTTTTTTCGGAGGGTCATATATACGGGAAAATACTGTATACTTGTGCCTGATTTTTCATTTTGATGCGTGCATGCATCACACATCAATCTGGCAAGGTCGCCTGACATTCCTGTCAGTGGCTGTTGTGCAACTTTGTGTCACTCGCAAGTACCGCACAAAACAGACAGTACTGACACGAGATGGAATACACATACACCCTTAGATTAGACCACGGAACTTGATTGATTACACCGTGCTAGTGGAACAGATATGGAACATTACATGTTAATGGGTCTTACCACATTTAATGCACTACCAGTATATCTAAAGAGTTTCTACACCCTTTCTACATCCAAATATCCATATTTCACATACCGCTAAGCGCAAACACGTTAACAATGTGATGGTACCGTAAGTCTTTTTATCCCACACCTACTCTGTGTGTTATCACACAGCACCTACTCTGGCAATGGTTGAAGTGTGATCCTGTTGCAGCTCTCCTCAACTGCTGTTACCGTGTGGCTGACCGAGGCCAGATGTTCCTGCAGCAAGCCATCGACTCGTGTCACACGCTGCAGCATCTGCACCATCTCTTCCACCTCCCTCCGTCGCTCCGCTCGGCTCTCTGCCACTGCCAACTGCGCATGTGCAGACAGACAACGCAGAAAGGGAGGGTTATGGTGTAATGCGTCTGAAATCATCCATGTTTGCAACCAGTGCAGTTGCTCCTCACTGGGGCTTCAATACGGAAAGATACTTCTGTGAAGGATCCAGCTTAGGGTTTGGACGTGCTTCTGGCCCAATTTGCATCCAGTTTCATGTCCCTCCTGCCACTCCAATTATCTGCTGCCGTCCTGCCTCGCCCCTTATCTGCTGCCCTCCTGCCTCTCCCCTTACCTGCTACCCTCCTGCCTTCTCCCCCTGCCTGCTACCCTCCTGCCTTCTCCCCCTGCCTGCGGCCCTCTGACCTGCTCTCCGGTCACGCTGCGTGGCTCACCTTGAGCTCCTGCTCCAGCTGAGTGATCTCATCTCCACGCCCCTGCTCCAGCTGCCGCACGCGCCTCTCGCTCTCCCGCACTTTCACCACCATGGCTTCCACATGCTTCTGCCGCATCTCAATCTCCTCCCTCTCGTCCTGCTCCAGCTGCACATGCAATGAAAACGCTCAGGTATTTTGTAAGCACCGTTTCATGGCAAGGAAAGGAACGCACACATACACACATGTTTGTGCAAAGGGACAGGGGCACTGGAGAGCATGCACAGTGGGACGCACAACAGATGACACCCAAGCACACATGTATGCCCACAAGCTAGAGCACCCGTGCGACGCTTGCATCAGAACAGGACAGGTTCGTCCGTCACGAGCTCATTCAAGAGGTCGTTTTTTCACGCCATTCCAACCCTTGCGTGTCCAGCTATCACAATCATGCGCATCTGCCCCCATCTCACCATGGTGCGCATCTTCTCCATGTGCTGCGCCGCCGCCTGTGCGTCCTTCGCCTCGCCCTCCGCCTGCTCCACCTCTGCCTCCGCCTCCGCCACCTGCCTCTCCCGCCACGCGCGCTTCTCCTCGTATGTGCGCAGCACGCCCGCCAGCCCCGCGCGGATGTCCGCCTTGGGGTGGCAGTCGCCCAGCATGTCCGTCCATGTGCCCGCGCGCGGATTCACGCACACGTCGTATCTCATTCCGCGCGCGTGCTTCGCTGTGTCGGGCACCAGCTTGCGCCTGAGCAAGTACAGAAACAAGGAGGGAAAGTGCGCGCACGGGACAGGATACGCTCAAATTGAAAATCCGTGCACATAAAACGGTCCTGCCGCGTTCCTGCTTCGCGATCACCATTCAGCACACCCAAACTGCCTCGCCTGCCCACCCGCCCGTCAGCCCGCCCGCAACTCACTTGGCGGCGAGCGCGTTGAATTCGTGCGCGCCTGCCTCCATCTGCGCCACCAGCCTCGCCACCTCCACCTCCGCGGCCCACGCCTCCTTTTCCGCGTCCTTGCGCCCCGCCACCACCGCCATGCGCGCCTCCTCGCGCTGCGCCTTGAGTGTCACCATGCGCTCCACCTCCGCTGCCGTCACCCCCTGCGCCTCCACTGTCGCGCGCAACCGCGCGTTCTCCGCCTTCATCGCCTGCGTTGCGCGACGACGCTCCTCCAATTCCGCGCGCTTCTCCTCCATCGCTGCATCTAGCTCCTGCGCGCGTACACACACGATGGGATGCGCGCACACGCACGATGGGATGCGCGCACACGCACGATGGGATGCGCGCACACGCACGATGGGATGCGCGCACACGCACGATGGGATGCGCGCACACGCACGATGGGAGCGCGCACACGCACGATGGGATGCGCGCACACGCACGATGGGATGCGCGCACACGCACGATGGGATGCGCGCACACGCACGATGGGATGCGCGCACACGCACGATGGAATAGGCGCACAGGCCGAGGGATGCTCACACGGTGCTGGGCACCCACCGCACCATGGGGTCGCGGCGGGCAGCGGCTGACGAGGCCGAGTTGCAGACCATAAACCTAGATGTCGCTGCGTGCACCTAAATACTCGCCGCGCCTATATGAGTGTCGCGGATCTAATCACGACGGGTAGGAAAAGCACCAATCTAAGGGGACGCACCTTGCTCTCCGCTCTCGCCTGCGCCGCTCGCCTCTCCGCGTCCCCCACCGCCTTCACCACCGCCTGGCGCTGCGCCACCACCGCCTCCAGCCGCGACGGGCCTTCCGCCTGTTGCACTCGCTCCTGCAGAGTCATAATTCAAATCACACACCACAACGGCGACAACTGAGGGTGAGCAACAGCAGATTTGCACGCATGCGTCGTCGTGCAACGGGGCGCGTGTCTCACCTTGAGGCGCTGCACGATCTCTTCCTTCTGGGCGATACTCCGTCGCACGTCGTCCAGCATGGCATCGCTGCGTCGCACGAACTCCTCCATGGCGGCGTGGCTGCCGGCCGTGGCGGCGTCCTCGTCCTCCTCGCTCATGAACACGCGGAACCCCGCGCGCACCTGCTCCAAGAATAATCGCCGCACCGAATGCACCGCGCCCGCTTGAGCCGCTCCGGCCGATACGGATGGAGCGGAGTGCGCGGCGATGGTAGCTTGGTGGTAGGCGAGCAGCTGCACGAGCCAGTGCAGCATGGCGAGCAGCGGCGGCCACGTGTGCGGCGTGCCGACGGAGTGCAGCGCGTTCTTGCTGATGCTGAACGGGTACCCGAGCCACTTGAGCGCCGCCAGCAGGTCGTCGTCTTGCTTCGCGCCCAGCTTGAAGCGCGGGTCGATGCGCGCGAGGAGGAACTCCGCCATGCGGAAGAAGTCCTTGCTGCTCGGCATGGCCAGCACCTTGCGGTTCAAGCTGCGGTCGTACCCCGCAGCTAGCAGATACTCCAACACCGAGTCCGCGCACCGGCTCTGGTACGCCTTGCTCGTGATCGGCCGAGGGTCCGCCTTCGACCCGCCGCTACTCTTACCGCCCGCCAAGCTCTGCCGGCCTACAGCCGGAGTGGGGCACATGGAAGAGCGGCCCGACGATGCGGGCGGCATGAGGGAGAATCGGCGAGGCGGCCCACTGGGTCCTGGCTTGGACAGAGTGTCGGGAGGGTGAGCGAAGGCGAAGCTAAGGCGCGGGGTGCATGGCGTCATTAGGTGGCTCGGCGGCAGCAATTTCGACGCCGTGGTGGGCGCCGGGATCTTTGACGATGCTTCTCTCTCGGAACCGCGATGGGACAAATGGTTGGGATCTATATTTTCGAATGCAAACCGCTTCATGATGGCTGCTTAAATGACACAGGAACGAGCGGAAGATGGGCTTTCAAAAGCGTTCCTAGTTGGAAGATCTGTTCGAAGCCCTACTAGATGCGGTAAACCTGCGAAATTACGAGGCGACGGTTGCTAAGGGAGCAATGAAGCTTGTGTTGATTGAAGGAAAGATCGAGGAGCCTCTGAGTGTGATTTGAAACTTCGAAGGTCCCGAGGTTCAGTGGAGAGAAGAACTAATGTTCAGAAGTTGGCAGGAATTCAAACGCGATCCCTCGATTTCCCGCGCTCTGACAGCCTGCAACCTGCGATCGCCAACTCGGCTCGGAAACTGTATTCGCTGTAATGTGACTAGCTTGGAAAACGAGGACACTCCAAGCTAGTCACGTGCAACCTTGAAAGTTTCTCGTAAGATCTTGGAAAAATATGATCCATAACTTCCTCGTTAAGAGGCCTTCAAACACCAATTCCCTAATTTTTATTCTTTTTTATACATTAAATGGTAAACCATATAACTGTAGGATAGTCAAGTGGATCTAGTTGGTATAATTAATTATCATAACGCCCTATAATATGCAAGGTTTAGGAATAAAAAAAATGTTTTGTCTTAGGATACGACTTGAATTTGTGTATTTTATTGCCATTTTCTGCCAAAAAAAGTGGAAAACCAGGATACATACCATTTCTTACCTATAGAAAACGTATCTATATCACCTCAATGTACAACCCCACACCAAGTCAGTTTTCTAACCATTTGTGTTGGTGTTGGGCTGTATTGGGACCCGTGCTGGAGTTGACCTTGTCTCGAATGTTGTGTATTTAACGATCTGGGTGTACATGATGGCGTCATGCCTGTGGACCGAACCGCTCCGACCAATCATGAAGCACAGGTGCTTGAGAAGCAAAGTGAGCGCAGATTTTTCCGTAAGCATCCGTCGCAAGCTTGAATTGCAACCAGCAATAAATACCAGTTGAACCTTTAGTCTTCTGATTTCAGTACATAAGAAAGTGCACAAGCGTTTAGGTACACCAGGAAACTACCCTCCGTCCCCAAGTGCCAACACGGAACCACCAACCATCCAAATCAGAAATTACAGAGGAAACTGTTTGCTACATTCGGGTCTCGTGTCAGACCTCAGAGGTGAGAGCTGAGGTTATCCTGGCCACCTAGTCCCTCCCCAGTTCGGGTGTACCAAGCTCACGTTGGGTGGGTCATCGTCCCTCATCTTAGGGCGTGTAAAATCGGGAGACACAAATATTCGGCCACAAGCCGAATGGCCGAATTGGCGAAAGTAACACTGTTACGAAATTCACGACAACCCTTGCGACAGTGGCAAATTTCGCTCAGATTCAGCGAATTTGATGGCCGTCTAATTGGTCGACTCGCCTTCCAACGTCGAGTCGACTCGAAACCAGCCACGTTACCGCCCCGTCGTTGCGACACTGGCATCAGGTGTCGCACGTTTCCGCATGCGACGCCAATCAGAAACCCTAAACCGCTTTTGGCTAATTGTGCTATGCCGAACCGTATGTGAACGGAGCCGCGTTGCAATGTTCAGGCTGTGGTTGAGATTGGGGTGCAAGGGCGTTCCAATATCGGGTGCACATGTGCGACTCCGTCGCACAATTCGGCCATTTGAAAGTTTACAACTTTCTGGAGTCGGCCAGCAATTCGCCCCTGGAAGTTGTAAAATTTGCAGGCCTGCAAAAAATGGCCGGTTATTGGCCGACACTGAGTCGGCCATATGGTCGACATGTGCGAAAGAAGTGTCGACATTTGGTCGACAAAATCCCGGCCAAACCTCATTTTTCAAAATGCTCCCCGATTTTACACGCCCTTAGCCGAGCCGTTTTCGTGTCAACCGCGCTTGACCTGAGGTCTGTCACGAGCCTGAGTCGTCCTGAACCGTAACCCCGCTCTTCATTTCCTACGTTTCCATCTGCCTCAACACTTGAGCCAGCATTCATTAGCTACGCAAGGGGATCGTCGACCTGACCTCACCTGACTCGATGCGAGAAATATGAATGGTGGAGGGGGCTTTGTCCTTACCCGCATTCATTGCGGTTTACACGCTGGCTCCAGCCAGGGTATGACGACGATACCAGGGGTGAGGTGCTGAGCAAGGGGGGAGGAGGTGGCATATGGCAAGCAACCCGTGTTGTATTTTGTTTACCTGTGCTGGCTGAATTAGAGGAATGATGATGGAAGTTGTTTCTGTGTAGCCAAGGATACCTCATCAACACAGTCTCGTTAGTCTCTGGCTGAAAAAGAAATGCTTTCTTGCGAGGAGTTGAAGCTACCAGAAAGATATGCTTCCACAGCCGCCGAGCTAACTCTAGCACCACATTCTTTTTAGGCTAAACGTTTCCCGACTGCCACTGCTTCGTTCAAGCATGCCTCCTCACGATAACTCATCGCTGTCGATGCCACGACGGCAGTTGAGTGTTGAAATCCCCAACATCGATTTCATCGCTGACGCTGCCGTCGAAGAGCCACTTGCTGCCGAGGAATCGCGACTGCTCGACGACGCCGGCCTGGGGGTTACCGATGTCGTCGTCCCAGCGTGCGAGGGGTTGGCGAACGACGACGACGATGACGACGAGATGTGGGACATTGACATCTGTCGTTCTATGAGCCGACCACGACGGGACCACGACCATACCACCGCATCCACTGACCCGCTTGCTCGGCCCTACGTGCAACCTGACTCGGACCTATTCTTGCTCGGCATGCATCTTCCCACGGCGCTTCCCCCTGGTCTCGCTGCTCCGAGGCCATGCAGGGATGCGGCGCGTGTATCGCTGAGCTGTACATTACCCAATGCTGACGTGGCGACGTCTGAGGCTTCGGCTCAGCTAAAGCTGTTGGAAGTGAAACTTCAGGTGCTAGAGGCGCAGCACCGAGTCGCAGCAATGCGCTGCGAACGTGAGCTAGTCGGGGGTAGCAAGATGATGGCGGCCGACTCGAGTTCCACCGGCAGTACGAGCCCCACTCCCGCAGCATCCAGATCTCACTCCGCTTCCAGGTCCGATTCCCCGATTCGTTCGGGCTCGCGGCGCCGCATAAGCAGCGTCAGGAGTCTTTCCGCTTTCGGCGGCGGCACTGGAAGCGCCGTCAGTCAGGTGACTGGTAAGGCGGCTTCTACCACCTTGTCAGATTCCGCCCTTTCAATGTCGCAGCCTGCATGCGTATCTGCGCGGTTTGGCGAGAGCAGCTATGCGGACGACAGCGACGGAGATGAGGAGTCGCCGCCATCGCTGGCGCAATGCGTATCGGCTGGAAGTGGCGGCAGACGCCGGCGTGCGGGCAGCCACGACGAGCGGGCGCCAGAAGGGTTAAGCGGTTCGAGAAGTAAGAGGGAAGCGGATGCGGGACAGGAGGAATGCTCGTCTTGGAGGGTGGAAGAGAGGCCTCGGACCTGTTTGAGCCCGCGATTAGTGACATGCATGACGTTCCGCCCAGCATGCATAGCACCACGCACCACTTCCCCTGTACGCTGTAAGGCCCCGGAAGCTATGCAGCCGACGAATCATGGTAGCATGAATAGACTGGTCGCAGCTTTTCGGGGCCATCGTAAATGAGAGGCTCAATCTTGCCGAAAGGGCTTATGAAAAGTGGCTGAGCAGTTGGCAGTGCTTGCCATAGCCATCGTTGCAACCTTCCCTGACGGGAGATGGAAAGATGGTGCATGGATCTGTAGATTCTATAACAGTATACGCCTTCAAAGGCTATCGTTCTTTGCAATGATGCAAAAAATATATTCAGGATGAGCTCATAGTGTATGCTAATTGATGTCATTTTCAATGGTGAACATTGTTTTACATATGGTACCAATAGTTGCAGTGCTTGCCTGTGTGATATTGTCACTGTTTACTCCCGACGGCTTACGTAGTGGCTTTGTGTGTCATCATTTGACCCTGTGCTAATCCTTTCAGTGGTAACATTATGTCAAACTAATGTTCTTGTCGTTTCTCAAATTCAGATCAAATCATGCGTACCATTGTGCTAGAAAGGGAATTTCGCGTTTAGAGTGCGAGAGGGATAAGAATTTTAGGAATATACCGTAGTACAAGAAACAAAGGAGAAGCTATTTGTGTTTTCTGTGTCCTACGGAAAATAAATTGTGAAACATTTGCTGTTCATAATACTTACCCGTTTTCAGTGTACTCGATGCTTTTCATAAAACTGTTCCCTTCTTCTTGATAGTGTCGTTCCCACAGGCAGGAAAGCAGAGCCCCGAATGAAGCAAACCCCGAATGCGAGGGTTCTTCAAGCCTCCACCATCCTGACCAAAGGCCTTGCTCGGACAGCGAGGTTCGGCAAGTGTAGGTGGGGAGACTTGGTCTGGGGGCATAGGCCCAAACCAAGCCTTCTCTTGGGCAGTCTCCTTCTTTACTCTCTTCCTCTGCTCCACCTCTCCCTTTTCCTTCTCTTCACCTCGCCGCTTCAGCCGTACTCTCAAGGCGTCGCAAGAACACCCAGGAGCCCAGAGAAGCTGCCACAATGAAGTTCAGCCCAAGTAAGTCCACGCGCAGCTGTAGTCTCGCGGCGCTGTTTTGGGTCGCTCTACCGTAAGCCTCGCTACGTGGAGTGCGGAGCGTCCCAAAGTTAGTGGGTCGTTTTGCATTCGGCGTTTCGCCACCTGTCCGCCTTATATGTAGCCAGAAGAAATTATTAACGGCGACGTTGGCGCGGGGAGCCAGCGACCTAGATCATGGCTGTGGGTGGGCGATAGCCGCGACTTCTAGTGGCGGGGTGAGGGCATTGGCGGGCTGGTGCAGTATTTTGAGTCGAAGATGGTACGGTATGGAATCTCTCAAGCGTGCCTCTGTCTGGAGACTCGGAGTTGCTAGATCTGCGACGGTGGATCTGCGGCAATTCCCGCTTAGGGTTTGAGGAGGCACCGTCTGTTGCCCAGGGGGCGCTCGTGTTTCATCAGCTGCGCGGTTCCGGCGGAACGAACCTCTTTTGTGTTAAAGTGTCCTAGTGTTGGCTGTCTAGTCGTTTCGGCCGAAAGATTTCAAAGCAGGCGGGACAATAGGCAGGCAAAGCACCGGTCGCAGCCGGTAGCTGCACCGCATGTTCTCTTTCTCGCACGCCGCTATGAATGCTGCCGTGGTGACTCCATCACTATAACTTTCCTCCCAAATCCCCTAACACTTTCAACCTCGTCCTGCGCCTTCTCACATCCTGTGCAAGTTCTCCCTCCCTCCTTCCCCATTCTCGCTTCCCTCGTCCCCCTTACCCCGTCCCTTCCTCCTTCTTTCCAGCTTCCCCTTCCCCCGTCCTCCTTTCCCCTTCTTTATTAACCGGTCCCCGTTCTCCGGCTCTCCCCGCGTCCCCGTTCCCCATCGGCGCGCAGGAGTGAGCTCGTCCCGGCGCAAGTCGCGGAAGGCGCACTTCACGGCGTCGTCCAGCGAGCGCCGCATTATCATGAGCTCCAGCCTTTCGTCCGAGCTGCGCAACAAGTACAACGTGAGTCTCCACCGCGCGCACGCCGCGCCCTCCGCCCATTTGTCGTGCAATCGCCTGCTCGCAGGTTAGGTTGAAAGAGGACAGCTTTGTCACAGTGTAGGTTGCGCGGATCCTGAAACGGCGCCGCTAACGTATTTTGGGTGCTTGCTTTGTGCTACGCCTGTGCGGGGCAGTGAGGGGCCAGGGACGGGGCATTAAACGAGCAGTGATGGGTAGTGTTGAAGCCGGGCCTAACCCTAGCGAAGAACCCGTGATGAGACGCGAAGGAAGCAGTTTCACAGGCAGCCACGCGTTACATCCAATTTTTGTCCACGGCGCGTGCTGATTGGTTCATGCTATGAGCTTGGCACTGACAGTTCTGTTGCTCCCTCCGCTTTCTTTCCCCGCCCCGTGCTTGTGCTTGCGATTGCGATTGTGCGTGTGCGGGTGCTCACGGCAGGTGCGGTCGGTGCCGATCCGCAAGGACGACGAGGTGCAGGTGGTGCGCGGCACGTACAAGGGGCGCGAGGGCAAGGTGGTGCAGGTGTACCGCCGCAAGTGGGTCATCCACATCGAGCGCATCACGCGCGAAAAGGTCAACGGTGAGTCAACGCCCTGTCGCCCCGTCGCTTGTGGGCTCTTCATTGCGTTGTTGCGCCAGCGGGCACGCGCGGCTGCGTTACTGGGCACGCATGTCTGTGCTAGCGGGCATGCGTTGCTGGGATACAAGTGTCTTCTAAGCCCCGTCGCCTTCAGGTCTTATGGGTCTCTGTGCGCGCTATCGCGGGGTCGTTTGTGAAGGGTGGTTGGTGATGGCGCTCAAGGTTGATAAGCCACGCTGGTATTCCCACTCACGTGCCATCCTGTGGACCTGTTGTGATTTCTTGTGCCGCGTGCCGTGCTGTTGTGTGCTGTGCTGTGACATGGGGTGTGGCTGGCTGGCCCATGAATGTGTGCTGTGGTGTTCCTGTGCCGGGTGTCCCCTGTGCTGTGCGGCTGTGCCCTGTGCATCGCGGTGGTGTGCGCTGCTGCCATGGATGTGTGTGCATGTGGCGTGTGCAGGGGCGACGGTGAACGTGGGAGTGCACCCGTCCAAGGTGGTGATCACGAAGCTGAAGCTGGACAAGGATCGCAAGGCGCTGCTGGACCGCAAGGCCAAGGGCCGTGCAGCCGACAAGGGCAAGGGCAAGTACACAGAGGAGACCGCGCAGCCCATGCAAGACGTCGATTAAATGCACAGCCCCACCCGCCCTGCAGCCGCCCTCTCGGCTCTCCCATCCGCTCCCTGCCTCCCGCCCGCGTCTGTGCTTCCCTTACTACTCCTCGGTCCTGGTTGCTGGTTCCGCCCTTCCACCCTCGCGCCTGGTTGCCGTGTATACGTGTGTAGGCATGTTTAGGAGCAGGCAGCGGCTGGCATGGCACTGATGGCTTGGTCTGTTGGGTACCGTATTTCTTTAATGGAAGAATCTAGTTGCGCAAGTGTATTTGTAGCCTGTTGAGGTGATGGCCCCTCGATAGGTGGGACCACAGTTGATTCAATACCTGTTGAGTGTCTGGAAGGCAGATGTAGGGTGAGAACGTGTTAGGTGGAGGTAACATATGGTAACTGCAGCAGTGACACCATGCAGAAGACAGTGCTGATTTCCATCTCGTGGTATCTTACAGAATAAATGCATCAGCACGATGACAACTGCTCAAAATCTACCAGATAATCTAAACGCACCCAGGGCCAAAGCCCAGCACTAGCAAGCTTGGTGGGTGGCAGCTCAAGTCCACTGTGGCTGACAGGCCAGTACCATGCCATGTCGTCACACCCAGATGGCCTGCGGAATGAACGACCTGCCAGCCCACACACATGCATGCGGGCGGTGGCTTGGCACGTGATTAGTATGGATCACCAACACACGGTGCGGTGTGGTACAACAAGGTGATGCGCAAACGAAGAGGGATCGCATGCAGATTATGCAGGGAAGTGGGGAGTGGGTGCTGCTGGTGGCAGGGTTGGTGATGGCAGAAAGGGGTGCAGTGCTTGGCAAGGAAACAGACATGCATGGGGCATTACGAGTGGACGCAGGCTGGCAGAGGGGGGCATGGCATGGCAGCAGTGCGTGCATACCACATGGGTGCAGCGACGGCGGGTGAGAGAGAGGCGAGCATGGGAATGCTGCTGCTTCGCGGCCCCCTGTGCACCCTGGTGAGGGGATGGAGGGGAGAGGATGGAGCGGCACAGGCGAGATGCAGATAGCAAGGGCGGGAGAAATAACAAGTGAGTTCAGCACTCAATGAGTGAATCTCACGAACCAGTTTCAGTGCAATAAAAAAACAGAGGGAGGGATGCATGCACACACACTGGAATACAGCCTAGGGCACCACTCACGAGACACCTGCTTCTGCCAGGTGGCGCTCTTGGATTGGCCATGAGCCTGTGATGGCTTCAGGGCCCCACGCTACCACACCCCCCACAGACAGTGATGGTGCGGAGGAGGTGGGCGAGGAGGGGATGGTGCAGGGGATGCGTGCGTGCATGGCAGCATGCACTGCCGCTGCTACCACTGCTGCTGTGTCTGATGGGTTGCTGCCGGCTGATGGGCACACGTGCAGGGTGCAGGCGAGAGAGGCAGGAGGACAGGGGATGGATGAAAGCAAGCAAGTGAGCTGTATGGGACTGGAAGGGCACCAGAGACACGCAGTACTGATACCAACAGAGGGGTTTGCTGACACATGCGCACTGACTCTTGCACTGACTCACAGGTGAGTTGCATGAGAGCTGGCGCACAACGGAAAGGCGCAGTGCTGCTACAGGTATTTAGCCTTGCCCGCAGGTTAGGAATGAATTGGATGAGCAGTGGGCGTGGAAGGAGGCAGGGATGAGTGACTGACCGTGGAAGAGCAGCACCTTGATGTACTTGCTGTGGCGCGCCACATCCATGGTCCATACCTGCACACGTGTGGCACAACAATGCATGTGGTGGAACGTGCTGTGAGCATATGATGCGCAATGCAGAGAGCTCAGTGGAAAGTGTGCAAGCACGGGGGAGGGTGCGGCACAAGTGCGAGACTCACGCTCTTGCACCACCCACCTCCCATCACACCTCACTCCCTCACTGCCAGCGCCGTACCACTTGAGTCACCGCACATGCCTTGTGTGAGAATGCCTCCCAGACTGACCATGAGGGCATCGTTGCACCGTGCTCCCGACCACGGCAGGGGCTCCACTCCCAGTAGTTGCGCACAAAAATGCTCCCTCTCCACCATCCAGTCCACCTGCGCGCACACACGCTCACCCACACTCGCCGCTCATGACAACAAATACGCACACACCCCCAAAGAGGCACCCACGCGGCTTCAGATCCCTGCTCACGTGAGCAGCACTGCTGCAAAGTGTACACACGGCAGTGCCTTGTGCGGTGGTGAGGGTGACGCAAGCACGGGTGGCATGGTTGAGTTGGTGAGGTCAGGTCACCTGCGCGGCTGATGGCAGCACGAGGAAGGAGGTTGAGTGAGCAGGCCGCTGGGATAGCTGGTTGGGGTGGGGCAGAAGAACGGAGGTGGTACAAGGAGGTAAAAGGGAGAAGGAGAGGTAAAACGAGAGCGTGCAACACAGCATGCAGATAAACGGCTTGGTGATTGCGTAAGAAGAGGAGAGAAGGTGACAGGGGATGATGTAGAAGCGAGACGGTGTGCTCTGTGTGCATTGAGCAAGTGGTGTGACTCCGCCCTCTTTTCACTCGCCCCACTCCATCCCCCTCTACCCCTCTCCACCCCCGTCCACCCTTCCCTCACCATGTGCACATAGCCATCCACAGCAGCAGCCACCTGGTGGCCCCGTCTCAGCCACTCCACCCGCGCACTGCTCTCCCGCACCCGCCTCTCGCCCTCCTCCCCTCCGCGCACCCCAAACACATGTTGCGACGGCGGCAGCACGTGCGGCGGTGCAGTGAAGCCCGCACGCGCGTACAGGTGCTCGCCCACGTCTGAGTACAGCACCTGGTGATGGGGGCAGGAAAGGAGGGCGACGGGTGTAGGGGACATGGGTGATATGGGAGCAAGAGAGAAGGTGGCTCTTGCAAATGGGGATAGGAGCGAATAGGCAAGGCAGAGACGAGCAGCACGCCGTGTGAATGATGAATCGGAGGCAGAAGAATGGTAGAGAGGGACGGTGCAGAGGGAGGGACGCATCGTGGGAGTTGTCAAATCTGCATCCACTGTCTGCCTAAGTGCCTACAGTGCTGGCAGTGGTGGAAATGCAGCACATGCTTACAGCAGCGAGGGCGGAGGGGTCGCAGTGTGCGAGCAGGGAAGGCATAGCGCGACACAGGTGGGTGGCCAGGCCGTGACCTGCCGGGCAGGGGGGGCGTGGGATGGAGCGAGGTTGTATCTCGCATTGCGAGAGACATTGGCGTCTGGCTGGACTCAAAAGGCAGGTACGGGGGCGAGATGGAGCATGGTTGTGACGGGAACAGAATGGATGGGACATGTGGAGGGAAGCCGTGTGGGTGAAGGAAAGGAAAGAAGAGGGGGAGGGGGGGGGGGGGAGAGGGGTGACGGAAGAGCAACGATGGAGCTGCATAAGTTCTGCACTCTGTATTGGCGTGTTGCTCACCTCTCATTGCCGGCGGTGTGAACACAGACGCAATGCCGTACGCGTTCCCCTTCACTGCTTGCCATGGTGACTGTGCTGCTGCTTGTTGTGCTGGCGATGGTGCTGGTGATGCTGTGCGTGCATGGGGAGGGGAAGGTGGCGGGGAGGAGGAAGCGAGGGCGGGGAGGAGAAGGGCGTCCTGGGAAGCAGAGGGGCATGGCATGGCAGGGGGAAACCGGGATGGCCGGGCAAAATGCTTCAGCTGCTGCAAACAGCTAACTCAGAGGAGCGTCACAACGCCCTGTTTGAGGCATAGCACGATGCAGAATCACCTCTGAAACTCTTCCCCTCCTCCCCCACCCAACCTGCCCCCAACCCACCCTCTTCTCCCCCCCCCCCCACACACTCCCCCACAGTGGCACATGAGCACGGCACCTGGCGGTATGTTTCCAGCGACGCCAGCACTCGCCTGCGCTGCACCCTGCCCTCCCCGCCGCCCCCACCACCACCACTGCTGCGGCATGGCACGGACACAAATGCCGCACCCTGCCCTCCCGAGCTGCTCGCACTCGTGTTGGCAGCGGTGCTGGCAGCGGCATGGACAGACACGGGGTGGTGCGGCAGTGCCTGGTGCTCGGGTGTGCGTGGTGCTACTTGCTCCTCTGCCTCGTCCGCGTCTGGTGAGAGGGTGCCACGGCATGAGGAGCATAGCGGACACGGGAGGTCGGGGCGAGCGCAGGCATGGTTGCAGAATAGTGATATTTGAAATGACTCAAGAATGCGGTAACAGCACACATGCATGTGCACACACCCGTACATAGATACACCATACATATCCACACTCGCACATGCACACCCACACATGCCCAGGCCGTCACTCCAGTTTCTAGAGCCCCACGCACAATGGCAGTGGCAGCCATACACGCAAGGGATTGAGTCTCATCACACAAATGAGCTCCCATGCCTCACGGCAGCACCGCCTCTCTCGCCCTCACAGCCTCTGACAATATTAGCTCCCGCAACACACGGCATGAGAAAGCCTCAGCACGAAGCGCATTGGGATGGCGTGGCAACAGCATGACGTGGCAGGACCTGATACGAGGGCCCATGTGCGCAGATTGGCTTGCGCCCATGCGTGGCTGCCCAGCTGCTGCTCGCGCTGCAGGAACTGCGGACAGGGGGGGGTGGAGAGGGAGGTGGGGGGAGAGGCAGGTGGGGGGAGAGACGAGGGAAAGAGGAACAGGAGAATAGGAGAGGTAAGGGATTGGGGGAAGGGGATTGTAAGAGCGACTGGGAAACGGAAGGCGAGAGAGGGGGGGCAGGGATGGGGAAGGGAGAGGGACTGAGTGTTGAAAGAAAAGAAGAATCAAGGCTACATCAAGGAATCAAAGAAAGAGGGGAAGGGACGAAAGGGGGGAGTGGGACGGGGGGAGAGGTTTGGGAAGGGGAGGAAGTGGCAGTAGGAAGAGCGGTACGGGGTGAAATGCAAGCAGTCTTGAGAGCGAGCACGGTGCGACACATGAACAGCAGAAGGAAAGACTCGCAGAGTATCGTGCGTCTTAGCGAGGAAACGGCAGTACGCAACTGCGACAAAACACATGCGACGCTGGAATTCCCAGAGAAGAAACGGCAGTGAGGGGAGCGAGCCCGACTCGGTGCGCAGCTGACCTGTTGGAGAGTCAACGCTGGCGCCCACGTGGTGTGCTGCGACACTTGAATTTCGCGACACTCGCGCGGGCTGGTTACCTCCACGACGCGGAGCGAGCTCGGCGGGAAGAGCGATGCGGTAAGAGAGGCCATGGCGCGACCGTTGGTAGCAGTGCAGTGCACACGGCAAGAGATTATGCTGGCGCGCCTAGTATTGATGACCGCCCGCATCAACAAAGGACGAGATTTGGAATCCGAGGTGCAGCCGCCGCAGGGAATCGCATACTCGCTATACGGTCGAGAATTCATGAGATTGCTCTCCTGTGTGGGATTACAGCAAAAACAAGGCATTCCCTGAACTCTAGCTATATACACACAGTTTTAAGCTCCTTACGGAAAGAAACCTGGTAAATGCTGTTGAATATATATCTCTCCAGCATGCTTCAACTGACCAACTAACATTTTGCTTCTAACTTTCCATAGAACAGCAAGCCACTGCGCCATTTCTATTTTACTGTTTCTTATTTTACAGTGGCATGTGGTATGTGTGTGCCCTCGCGTCACAATCATCTGTTGGCCTCTACTCGTTTTTCTGCATGCTCCACCTGCATGAGGGTCGACATGAAAAGACAATGCAAGTGCTCAGGATTAAAAAATCAAGGAGATGTGAAGGAGCAGGATGGGAGCAGGGAGGGAGGAGGCAATCGTAAATGGACTATTTGCACAGAGATATGAGCAGCGTACCTGGGCAGACCAATCAGTGATGGCCACATAGTATCCGAAGATGGCTGTTTGGATTGCCTCCCCCACAATTATGGATAGCCAAAGGCCCTGTGGGTGGTCATATGGGGAGACACGTATAAGATTTTCGAATAATGACCCCCACTCAATAAAACTGTGTAGAGAACAATGACAGTGCGAATGTGGGTCCGTGGAGTTGATGTGGGGGGGATTGGAGAGCATGAGCTGACTGCGTTTTCATCACATGCATGGATGTGCTGCACGCACACCACTGAAAGGCAGGCAAGTTAATGCCCTGTATGTGTGTGTGTGCAGGTGCGTGCATGTGTGTGGCAGTGCAAGCAGCAACGTACAGCAACGCCGAGGTGGAAAGGGTAGAAGGCGAGGGCGTAGGCGAGGGGCAGAGCGATGGCATAGAAGGTGAAGGCGTTCACCCCCGTGCCCACCGCCTGCTGCCCTGACCCCCGCAGCACTCCTGCCGTGGTGGGGTGGCGCAGGTAATGGGGGTTGCGGAAAGGGGAGGAATGCGGAAAGTGTATTATGAGTTGAGTCATCACAGCACCGCACAGCACGGCACAGCACGGCATATCTGGGGAGTTGGAAAAAGCGGGAGGAAATGAGGTAGGCGCTTGACTTGACAACATGAGATGGGGAACGCAGCAAAATCAAACACCGAGGCCGGCAGCGAGGACAATGTAGCTAAGAGGCAGAGGGGTGGGTTAGACGGGTGCACCTGAGAGGATGGTGGGCAGGCAGAGGCCTGGCTGGGACACAATGAGGAAGGGCATGAGCGACCGCACGACGGCTGCCACGTCGGGAGAAGAGGCACCGGTGAAGAAGAGGATGAGGAAGTCGCGGATGAAGAGCAGGAAGAGCGCTATGAGCGCCGACAGCAGCACCGATATGCCCATCGCCACCGCCACTGCCCTGCGCGCTGCTGCTGGGCTCCTTGCTCCCAACGCGTTGCTCACCCGCACACTGCAGAGAGGGCGGCGCAGGGGGGGGGGGGGCGGGGTGGTGGGGAGAGTGCGGAACAAACCACCCACTGCGCCGCCCCTCACACGACCGTGCTGCCCCTGCGCACTTTGCTCCTCGCGAGTTGTTCATCTGTCTGCAGATGGGGTAAGGGGAGGCGCGGTGCAGAACAAATGGGGCAGGGCAGGTGGGTGGATGGATAGAGAATGAAGTGCTCAAGATGTGGGTGATCGTGATACGCTAGTCACTCATGAGCTGACCGCCCTGGGAGAACATAAGCTCTCAAAAAGCACGTAAACAAAGCCTCGGAAAGAACGTAAGGTTGAAGGTTACCGGATGAATGCAAACTGTGGCGTGGAGTGAAGTGGGGTATAGGGGCGTGAAGTGGCGGAGTGGCATGAGAGGCGAGCGCACCTGGCAGCGATGCCAAAGGCGAGTGAGAACATGAAGCAGAAGCCAGCAGTCTGCAGACTGCAACCGACATGATGGAGGGGAGGGGAAGGAAAGGTGGGGAAGTGGAGCATGCAACAATAAACACATTAACTGGCATGTCATGCAGGAAGAAAGGATGTTGAGCGTTGAATGCTTGTGGTGAAGAACGGCTGTCAGGGGAAGTTGGACATGAAACTCAACGGTCCAAAAGTGGGGTTCCGAAGTACATGGTCACACGTTGACTGTACGGCCGTGTGAATCACCACAAACCACTGCTCATGACAGCTGCATCAACCACCATGGCATGGCCAAGCACCTGGTGGCATCAAGGCAAGCATGGCATGGCTGCCCCGTGAGCACACCTTACTGGCATGGCTGCCCCGTGAGCACACCTTACTGGCATGGCTGCCCCGTGAGCACACCTTACTTGCATGGCTGCCCCGTGAGCACACCTTACTGGCATGGCTGCCCCGTGAGCACACCTTACTTGCATGGCTGCCCCGTGAGCACACCTTACTTGCATGGCTGCCCCGTGAGCACACCTTACTTGCATGGCTGCCCCGTGAGCACACCTTACTTGCATGGCTGCCCCGTGAGCACACCTTACTGGCATGGCTGCCCCGTGAGCACACCTTACTTGCATGGCTGCCCCGTGAGCACACCTTACTGGCATGGCTGCCCCGTGAGCACACCTTACTTGCATGGCTGCCCCGTGAGCACACCTTACTTGCATGGCTGCCCCGTGAGCACACCTTACTTGCATGGCTGCCCCGTGAGCACACCTTACTTGCATGGCTGCCCCGTGAGCACACCTTACTTGCATGGCTGCCCCGTGAGCACACCTTACTTGCATGGCTGCCCCGTGAGCACACCTTACTGGCATGGCTGCCCCGTGAGCACACCTTACTTGCATGGCTGCCCCGTGAGCACACCTTACTTGCATGGCTGCCCCGTGAGCACACCTTACTTGCATGGCTGCCCCGTGAGCACACCTTACTTGCATGGCTGCCCCGTGAGCACACCTTACTTGCATGGCTGCCCCGTGAGCACACCTTACTTGCATGGCTGCCCCGTGAGCACACCTTACTTGCATGGCTGCCCCGTGAGCACACCTTACTTGCATGGCTGCCCCGTGAGCACACCTTACTTGCATGGCTGCCCCGTGAGCACACCTTACTTGCATGGCTGCCCCGTGAGCACACCTTACTTGCATGGCTGCCCCGTGAGCACACCTTACTTGCATGGCTGCCCCGTGAGCACACCTTACTTGCATGGCTGCCCCGTGAGCACACCTTACTTGCATGGCTGCCCCGTGAGCACACCTTACTTGCATGGCTGCCCCGTGAGCACACCTTACTTGCATGGCTGCCCCGTGAGCACACCTTACTTGCATGGCTGCCCCGTGAGCACACCTTACTTGCATGGCTGCCCCGTGAGCACACCTTACTTGCATGGCTGCCCCGTGAGCACACCTTACTTGCATGGCTGCCCCGTGAGCACACCTTACTTGCATGGCTGCCCCGTGAGCACACCTTACTTGCATGGCTGCCCCGTGAGCACACCTTACTTGCATGGCTGCCCCGTGAGCACACCTTACTTGCATGGCTGCCCCGTGAGCACACCTTACTTGCATGGCTGCCCCGTGAGCACACCTTACTGGCATGGCTGCCCCGTGAGCACACCTTACTTGCATGGCTGCCCCGTGAGCACACCTTACTTGCATGGCTGCCCCGTGAGCACACCTTACTTGCATGGCTGCCCCGTGAGCACACCTTACTTGCATGGCTGCCCCGTGAGCACACCTTACTGGCATGGCTGCCCCGTGAGCACACCTTACTTGCATGGCTGCCCCGTGAGCACACCTTACTTGCATGGCTGCCCCGTGAGCACACCTTACTTGCATGGCTGCCCCGTGAGCACACCTTACTTGCATGGCTGCCCCGTGAGCACACCTTACTTGCATGGCTGCCCCGTGAGCACACCTTACTTGCATGGCTGCCCCGTGAGCACACCTTACTTGCATGGCTGCCCCGTGAGCACACCTTACTTGCATGGCTGCCCCGTGAGCACACCTTACTTGCATGGCTGCCCCGTGAGCACACCTTACTTGCATGGCTGCCCCGTGAGCACACCTTACTTGCATGGCTGCCCCGTGAGCACACCTTACTTGCATGGCTGCCCCGTGAGCACACCTTACTTGCATGGCTGCCCCGTGAGCACACCTTACTTGCATGGCTGCCCCGTGAGCACACCTTACTTGCATGGCTGCCCCGTGAGCACACCTTACTTGCATGGCTGCCCCGTGAGCACACCTTACTTGCATGGCTGCCCCGTGAGCACACCTTACTTGCATGGCTGCCCCGTGAGCACACCTTACTTGCATGGCTGCCCCGTGAGCACACCTTACTTGCATGGCTGCCCCGTGAGCACACCTTACTTGCATGGCTGCCCCGTGAGCACACCTTACTTGCATGGCTGCCCCGTGAGCACACCTTACTTGCATGGCTGCCCCGTGAGCACACCTTACTTGCATGGCTGCCCCGTGAGCACACCTTACTTGCATGGCTGCCCCGTGAGCACACCTTACTTGCATGGCTGCCCCGTGAGCACACCTTACTTGCATGGCTGCCCCGTGAGCACACCTTACTTGCATGGCTGCCCCGTGAGCACACCTTACTTGCATGGCTGCCCCGTGAGCACACCTTACTTGCATGGCTGCCCCGTGAGCACACCTTACTTGCATGGCTGCCCCGTGAGCACACCTTACTTGCATGGCTGCCCCGTGAGCACACCTTACTTGCATGGCTGCCCCGTGAGCACACCTTACTTGCATGGCTGCCCCGTGAGCACACCTTACTTGCATGGCTGCCCCGTGAGCACACCTTACTTGCATGGCTGCCCCGTGAGCACACCTTACTTGCATGGCTGCCCCGTGAGCACACCTTACTTGCATGGCTGCCCCGTGAGCACACCTTACTTGCATGGCTGCCCCGTGAGCACACCTTACTTGCATGGCTGCCCCGTGAGCACACCTTACTTGCATGGCTGCCCCGTGAGCACACCTTACTTGCATGGCTGCCCCGTGAGCACACCTTACTTGCATGGCTGCCCCGTGAGCACACCTTACTTGCATGGCTGCCCCGTGAGCACACCTTACTTGCATGGCTGCCCCGTGAGCACACCTTACTTGCATGGCTGCCCCGTGAGCACACCTTACTTGCATGGCTGCCCCGTGAGCACACCTTACTTGCATGGCTGCCCCGTGAGCACACCTTACTTGCATGGCTGCCCCGTGAGCACACCTTACTTGCATGGCTGCCCCGTGAGCACACCTTACTTGCATGGCTGCCCCGTGAGCACACCTTACTTGCATGGCTGCCCCGTGAGCACACCTTACTTGCATGGCTGCCCCGTGAGCACACCTTACTTGCATGGCTGCCCCGTGAGCACACCTTACTTGCATGGCTGCCCCGTGAGCACACCTTACTTGCATGGCTGCCCCGTGAGCACACCTTACTTGCATGGCTGCCCCGTGAGCACACCTTACTTGCATGGCTGCCCCGTGAGCACACCTTACTTGCATGGCTGCCCCGTGAGCACACCTTACTTGCATGGCTGCCCCGTGAGCACACCTTACTTGCATGGCTGCCCCGTGAGCACACCTTACTTGCATGGCTGCCCCGTGAGCACACCTTACTTGCATGGCTGCCCCGTGAGCACACCTTACTGGCATGGCTGCCCCGTGAGCACACCTTACTTGCATGGCTGCCCCGTGAGCACACCTTACTTGCATGGCTGCCCCGTGAGCACACCTTACTTGCATGGCTGCCCCGTGAGCACACCTTACTTGCATGGCTGCCCCGTGAGCACACCTTACTTGCATGGCTGCCCCGTGAGCACACCTTACTTGCATGGCTGCCCCGTGAGCACACCTTACTGGCATGGCTGCCCCGTGAGCACACCTTACTTGCATGGCTGCCCCGTGAGCACACCTTACTTGCATGGCTGCCCCGTGAGCACACCTTACTTGCATGGCTGCCCCGTGAGCACACCTTACTTGCATGGCTGCCCCGTGAGCACACCTTACTTGCATGGCTGCCCCGTGAGCACACCTTACTTGCATGGCTGCCCCGTGAGCACACCTTACTTGCATGGCTGCCCCGTGAGCACACCTTACTTGCATGGCTGCCCCGTGAGCACACCTTACTTGCATGGCTGCCCCGTGAGCACACCTTACTTGCATGGCTGCCCCGTGAGCACACCTTACTTGCATGGCTGCCCCGTGAGCACACCTTACTTGCATGGCTGCCCCGTGAGCACACCTTACTGGCATGGCTGCCCCGTGAGCACACCTTACTTGCATGGCTGCCCCGTGAGCACACCTTACTGGCATGGCTGCCCCGTGAGCACACCTTACTTGCATGGCTGCCCCGTGAGCACACCTTACTTGCATGGCTGCCCCGTGAGCACACCTTACTTGCATGGCTGCCCCGTGAGCACACCTTACTTGCATGGCTGCCCCGTGAGCACACCTTACTGGCATGGCTGCCCCGTGAGCACACCTTACTTGCATGGCTGCCCCGTGAGCACACCTTACTTGCATGGCTGCCCCGTGAGCACACCTTACTTGCATGGCTGCCCCGTGAGCACACCTTACTTGCATGGCTGCCCCGTGAGCACACCTTACTTGCATGGCTGCCCCGTGAGCACACCTTACTTGCATGGCTGCCCCGTGAGCACACCTTACTTGCATGGCTGCCCCGTGAGCACACCTTACTTGCATGGCTGCCCCGTGAGCACACCTTACTTGCATGGCTGCCCCGTGAGCACACCTTACTTGCATGGCTGCCCCGTGAGCACACCTTACTTGCATGGCTGCCCCGTGAGCACACCTTACTTGCATGGCTGCCCCGTGAGCACACCTTACTGGCATGGCTGCCCCGTGAGCACACCTTACTTGCATGGCTGCCCCGTGAGCACACCTTACTTGCATGGCTGCCCCGTGAGCACACCTTACTGGCATGGCTGCCCCGTGAGCACACCTTACTTGCATGGCTGCCCCGTGAGCACACCTTACTTGCATGGCTGCCCCGTGAGCACACCTTACTTGCATGGCTGCCCCGTGAGCACACCTTACTTGCATGGCTGCCCCGTGAGCACACCTTACTTGCATGGCTGCCCCGTGAGCACACCTTACTTGCATGGCTGCCCCGTGAGCACACCTTACTTGCATGGCTGCCCCGTGAGCACACCTTACTGGCATGGCTGCCCCGTGAGCACACCTTACTTGCATGGCTGCCCCGTGAGCACACCTTACTTGCATGGCTGCCCCGTGAGCACACCTTACTTGCATGGCTGCCCCGTGAGCACACCTTACTTGCATGGCTGCCCCGTGAGCACACCTTACTTGCATGGCTGCCCCGTGAGCACACCTTACTTGCATGGCTGCCCCGTGAGCACACCTTACTTGCATGGCTGCCCCGTGAGCACACCTTACTTGCATGGCTGCCCCGTGAGCACACCTTACTTGCATGGCTGCCCCGTGAGCACACCTTACTTGCATGGCTGCCCCGTGAGCACACCTTACTGGCATGGCTGCCCCGTGAGCACACCTTACTTGCATGGCTGCCCCGTGAGCACACCTTACTTGCATGGCTGCCCCGTGAGCACACCTTACTGGCATGGCTGCCCCGTGAGCACACCTTACTTGCATGGCTGCCCCGTGAGCACACCTTACTTGCATGGCTGCCCCGTGAGCACACCTTACTTGCATGGCTGCCCCGTGAGCACACCTTACTTGCATGGCTGCCCCGTGAGCACACCTTACTTGCATGGCTGCCCCGTGAGCACACCTTACTTGCATGGCTGCCCCGTGAGCACACCTTACTTGCATGGCTGCCCCGTGAGCACACCTTACTTGCATGGCTGCCCCGTGAGCACACCTTACTGGCATGGCTGCCCCGTGAGCACACCTTACTTGCATGGCTGCCCCGTGAGCACACCTTACTTGCATGGCTGCCCCGTGAGCACACCTTACTGGCATGGCTGCCCCGTGAGCACACCTTACTTGCATGGCTGCCCCGTGAGCACACCTTACTTGCATGGCTGCCCCGTGAGCACACCTTACTTGCATGGCTGCCCCGTGAGCACACCTTACTTGCATGGCTGCCCCGTGAGCACACCTTACTGGCATGGCTGCCCCGTGAGCACACCTTACTTGCATGGCTGCCCCGTGAGCACACCTTACTTGCATGGCTGCCCCGTGAGCACACCTTACTTGCATGGCTGCCCCGTGAGCACACCTTACTTGCATGGCTGCCCCGTGAGCACACCTTACTTGCATGGCTGCCCCGTGAGCACACCTTACTTGCATGGCTGCCCCGTGAGCACACCTTACTTGCATGGCTGCCCCGTGAGCACACCTTACTTGCATGGCTGCCCCGTGAGCACACCTTACTTGCATGGCTGCCCCGTGAGCACACCTTACTTGCATGGCTGCCCCGTGAGCACACCTTACTTGCATGGCTGCCCCGTGAGCACACCTTACTTGCATGGCTGCCCCGTGAGCACACCTTACTTGCATGGCTGCCCCGTGAGCACACCTTACTGGCATGGCTGCCCCGTGAGCACACCTTACTTGCATGGCTGCCCCGTGAGCACACCTTACTTGCATGGCTGCCCCGTGAGCACACCTTACTGGCATGGCTGCCCCGTGAGCACACCTTACTTGCATGGCTGCCCCGTGAGCACACCTTACTTGCATGGCTGCCCCGTGAGCACACCTTACTTGCATGGCTGCCCCGTGAGCACACCTTACTTGCATGGCTGCCCCGTGAGCACACCTTACAGGCATGGCTGCCCCGTGAGCACACCTTACTTGCATGGCTGCCCCGTGAGCACACCTTACTTGCATGGCTGCCCCGTGAGCACACCTTACTTGCATGGCTGCCCCGTGAGCACACCTTACTTGCATGGCTGCCCCGTGAGCACACCTTACTTGCATGGCTGCCCCGTGAGCACACCTTACTTGCATGGCTGCCCCGTGAGCACACCTTACTGGCATGGCTGCCCCGTGAGCACACCTTACTTGCATGGCTGCCCCGTGAGCACACCTTACTTGCATGGCTGCCCCGTGAGCACACCTTACTTGCATGGCTGCCCCGTGAGCACACCTTACTGGCACGGCTGCCCCGTGAGCACACCTTACTTGCATGGCTGCCCCGTGAGCACACCTTACTTGCATGGCTGCCCCGTGAGCACACCTTACTTGCATGGCTGCCCCGTGAGCACACCTTACTTGCATGGCTGCCCCGTGAGCACACCTTACTTGCATGGCTGCCCCGTGAGCACACCTTACTTGCATGGCTGCCCCGTGAGCACACCTTACTGGCATGGCTGCCCCGTGAGCACACCTTACTTGCATGGCTGCCCCGTGAGCACACCTTACTTGCATGGCTGCCCCGTGAGCACACCTTACTTGCATGGCTGCCCCGTGAGCACACCTTACTTGCATGGCTGCCCCGTGAGCACACCTTACTTGCATGGCTGCCCCGTGAGCACACCTTACTTGCATGGCTGCCCCGTGAGCACACCTTACTTGCATGGCTGCCCCGTGAGCACACCTTACTTGCATGGCTGCCCCGTGAGCACACCTTACTTGCATGGCTGCCCCGTGAGCACACCTTACTTGCATGGCTGCCCCGTGAGCACACCTTACTTGCATGGCTGCCCCGTGAGCACACCTTACTTGCATGGCTGCCCCGTGAGCACACCTTACTTGCATGGCTGCCCCGTGAGCACACCTTACTTGCATGGCTGCCCCGTGAGCACACCTTACTTGCATGGCTGCCCCGTGAGCACACCTTACTGGCATGGCTGCCCCGTGAGCACACCTTACTTGCATGGCTGCCCCGTGAGCACACCTTACTTGCATGGCTGCCCCGTGAGCACACCTTACTGGCATGGCTGCCCCGTGAGCACACCTTACTTGCATGGCTGCCCCGTGAGCACACCTTACTTGCATGGCTGCCCCGTGAGCACACCTTACTTGCATGGCTGCCCCGTGAGCACACCTTACTTGCATGGCTGCCCCGTGAGCACACCTTACTTGCATGGCTGCCCCGTGAGCACACCTTACTTGCATGGCTGCCCCGTGAGCACACCTTACTTGCATGGCTGCCCCGTGAGCACACCTTACTGGCATGGCTGCCCCGTGAGCACACCTTACTGGCATGGCTGCCCCGTGAGCACACCTTACTTGCATGGCTGCCCCGTGAGCACACCTTACTTGCATGGCTGCCCCGTGAGCACACCTTACTTGCATGGCTGCCCCGTGAGCACACCTTACTTGCATGGCTGCCCCGTGAGCACACCTTACTTGCATGGCTGCCCCGTGAGCACACCTTACTGGCATGGCTGCCCCGTGAGCACACCTTACTTGCATGGCTGCCCCGTGAGCACACCTTACTTGCATGGCTGCCCCGTGAGCACACCTTACTTGCATGGCTGCCCCGTGAGCACACCTTACTTGCATGGCTGCCCCGTGAGCACACCTTACTGGCATGGCTGCCCCGTGAGCACACCTTACTTGCATGGCTGCCCCGTGAGCACACCTTACTTGCATGGCTGCCCCGTGAGCACACCTTACTGGCATGGCTGCCCCGTGAGCACACCTTACTTGCATGGCTGCCCCGTGAGCACACCTTACTTGCATGGCTGCCCCGTGAGCACACCTTACTGGCATGGCTGCCCCGTGAGCACACCTTACTTGCATGGCTGCCCCGTGAGCACACCTTACTTGCATGGCTGCCCCGTGAGCACACCTTACTGGCATGGCTGCCCCGTGAGCACACCTTACTGGCATGGCTGCCCCGTGAGCACACCTTACTGGCATGGCTGCCCCGTGAGCACACCTTACTGGCATGGCTGCCCCGTGAGCACACCTTACTTGCATGGCTGCCCCGTGAGCACACCTTACTTGCATGGCTGCCCCGTGAGCACACCTTACTTGCATGGCTGCCCCGTGAGCACACCTTACTTGCATGGCTGCCCCGTGAGCACACCTTACTTGCATGGCTGCCCCGTGAGCACACCTTACTTGCATGGCTGCCCCGTGAGCACACCTTACTTGCATGGCTGCCCCGTGAGCACACCTTACTTGCATGGCTGCCCCGTGAGCACACCTTACTTGCATGGCTGCCCCGTGAGCACACCTTACTTGCATGGCTGCCCCGTGAGCACACCTTACTGGCATGGCTGCCCCGTGAGCACACCTTACTTGCATGGCTGCCCCGTGAGCACACCTTACTTGCATGGCTGCCCCGTGAGCACACCTTACTTGCATGGCTGCCCCGTGAGCACACCTTACTTGCATGGCTGCCCCGTGAGCACACCTTACTTGCATGGCTGCCCCGTGAGCACACCTTACTTGCATGGCTGCCCCGTGAGCACACCTTACTTGCATGGCTGCCCCGTGAGCACACCTTACTTGCATGGCTGCCCCGTGAGCACACCTTACTTGCATGGCTGCCCCGTGAGCACACCTTACTTGCATGGCTGCCCCGTGAGCACACCTTACTTGCATGGCTGCCCCGTGAGCACACCTTACTTGCATGGCTGCCCCGTGAGCACACCTTACTTGCATGGCTGCCCCGTGAGCACACCTTACTGGCATGGCTGCCCCGTGAGCATACCTTATGGTCATGGCTGCGACGTTGACAACAGGGTTGGGCAGCAGGCCGGAGACAAGCGTGACGATCTCAAAGAACCACCACTCCAGACTGCCATGCCACCAAGGAAGGGGGGAGAGGCGGGGGTAGTACGAGCAGCAGCGGGCCACGGAATGAGACGAATGGGCCCAAGATGACAGCCCCACTCCAGGGCCGAATCCTTAATCCCCACCATCACATCACACAGGGCGGCACCGCCATGGCTACACACGAGTCATCACCAAGAAATTCTCACAAATTGCCTTATTTAGCACGGTAGATTGCAAGTCCTTTCCAAGAATTTTACGAAACGCCTCTCCAAAAGCACGTGACCGCTCACCATATCATGGCACAGGAGGGCACGGCAACAGTGAGGTAGGGCCACCAGGCGGAGAAAGAGAGGGCGAGCGACCAGCCGCGCCAGCAGCGCGCGAGCAGTTGATGAGAGGAGTCCAGCAGCGCGAGGTAGAGCAGCGCGAGCAGCAGCTGGAAGAGCAGCGTGAGCGAGAGGGCCATGGCGGCTCCTGTGAAGCCCAGAGCGAAGGTGTGGATGAGCAGGTAGGAGGCGAGGGCGAGGAAGAGCAGGGCGACCAGCGAGATGAGCGTGAGGGGCAGGGTCACGCCTTGCACCTGCGGATAGGGAGGGTGCATGGCGAGGGGGGGAAGGGGACGGGGATGGGGAGGGGGGACGCGAAAGGGATGAAGGGGGAAGTCAGGGGAGAAACAGGTGAGCAAGAAAACATGAAAAATGGGAGAGTCTGAGCTCCAATGCAGGCCATGCTAGGACGTGCAAGGTGCACACGCCGGCTGGTAGGCAGCATCGATGGACGCTGCGCCTGCTTGTATACCAATGCCCGTGAATGTACAGTACTAGATAGAAGTAGAGAGAGTGGATGCCAACACAGAGCACGAACGCCATGGTGTAGAGCTGGAGGTGGGGTTCATGCTCGAATTTCAACTCCAATCTAGTTGAATTAGCTGGCGTTACCACATTTTCCATTTCGATTTCGCTCGTATCTCGATAACCCAGACTCGAAACCATGTCTTGGAGTGGAAGGTGAGGGCCCAGCTGACCTGCATGAACTTGGTGATGGGCAGGAACGCTGCAGACGCCAGCAGGCCCGGGATCTCCCACGCGATGTACTGCGCTGCGCCGCTTGCTATGGATTGGTCCTGGGCTTGGAAGGGGAAGGAGCGCAGACAGGGAGCAGGGGGTAAGAGGGCATTAGCAAGGGAAGCGAGAGGGTGAGGAGAAAAGCCAGTGCCATTTGGGTTACACTGGGATCTTACATAAACGGTTTGAACACACACTGCTGCAACCCCTGTGATGCAGTGGCAGCAGCGGTTTCGTTGCGTCCGAACCTCGTTTGAGATGCCTCAGAGATCGTCTCACACCTTGCAGGTCGACTCAAAGCTCCACTCAAAAGTATCAATCACCTGGTGTTGAGTGGCCTACGAGAAGAGAGCGCGCACCTGGCCGGTGAAGAGCAGCAGCGGTCGCGTGGCGAGCCAGCAGGCGCAGATGGGGAGGCAGGCGAGGGTGAGGATGAGGTGCACGCGCTGCAGCATGGTGCCCAGCGACGCCAGGTCTCCTGCGCCGTACGCCTGCCCGCACACCGTCTCCATGGCGCTCGCCAGCCCTTCCTGTGCCCGCGCGCACGCGTGGAGGAGGCAATGTGGGCGGGTGGAGCGGGCGCAGAGGAGTGGAGCGGGAGAATTGTGAAGTGAGTGAACTCAAACGCCACGCAAGTTCCCCAGAGTCGCTTGCATGCCAGGCCAATTCGGTGGATGGGTGGGAAACCAACGTGGACGGGTGGTGGAGGAAGAGTGGATGGGTGGGGGCGGAAGAGTGGACGGGTGGGGGCGGAAGAGTGGACGGGTGGGGGCGGAAGAGTGGATGGGTGGGGCTGGCAGCGTGGACGGGTGGAGCAAAAAGGAGGGGGAGATCAAAATTGCGTCAAACGGTACATAGCGGGTGAGGCGGGGGACGGTTGGGAGAGCGAAAAGAGGAAGGGGAGGGAGAGAGAGGAAGGTCAAGGGGGGAATTTGTGGGGGGAAAGCAAGTACTATGGACGGCGGAACGAGACTATCCCCTTTCCCTTCACCCCTTCCCACCTCTTCCCTCTCCCCAATTTCCTCCCTTCCCCACTTGATTGGAGTGAAATGCTTGAATCTCGCAAACGAATCACTGTCTGGGCGTGGATGTGGTTACCAGCAGCGAGAAGCCAGTGACGTTGGCGAGCGCGGTGGCGATGGAAGCACACGCGAGCTCTTGCGTGCCGAGGTGGCCGACGAAGGCGAGGCAGAGCAGCTGCATGAAGCTGTTCACCGCCATCGTGCCCGCCACCGGCAACCCCACGCTGCATTGCGCCGCTGCCTCGCCCACCCACGACGCCGCTCCGCGCTCCACCGCCGCCTCGCGCTCGTGCAGAAGAACGTACTCGTTATGAGGTGGCGCGGTATCGGCTCCGTGGCATTGAGGGGGGTTGAGGAGGGATGCGGTAGCGTCGTCTTGTCGGACATCAAGACGGAGCGCGTGAGAAGCGGCGTGCTCCGGCACGTCCACTCTCGTGTGGTCCACTGGGGCTGGCGCCATGGCTGGCGAGTCAGATCGTATCGAATCCGAATTAGCACCGTTACCTTGAGAATTTGCCTGTGTCCCCGAAAACGGTTGAATTGCTGGGGATAACGACGCTGACGGTCAAATTTGAGGCTTAGATCGTTGTATCCGCAAGACGAGAAATGAGAATGTGGAGCGATCATAACCTTACGATGGAGTAAACGTCACCCGTTGAGACGGTTGCGGTTGCGTAAGTATAGAAACGACGATTATGCTATGCACGCAAGATCAACCAAAACGTGAATAGCTATGACATACCATCCCTGGGGTCGTAACAAGAACTGACAACCGAACAAGCTGAGCTGTCGCACATTCCTGAACTTTGAATGCGGGAAGATCTGTTTCGTTTGCGAAGTCGCAAATGCCTCGTCATCAAATTCGTCTGATGATCAAATTGTAGTCGAGCGTTTTGCTGACGTCGCAAACATTCGTGTGGGTGCATACCGTTGAAGCAAATCTGTTCAGATGCTAGTTCGCAGGTTGTCGTAAAGCGTCGTTCAAAGTCGTTAAAACGGTCGTGTGTTACGAAGTGTTTTGTTCGCAACATTCGGAATGGGGCAGAAAAATTGGGCAACACCATACACGATTCACAACGCCCCGTGTTGGCCTGAAGCCTGAATCTGGGAATTTCTAGGCCAATCGTCGCTCGCACCTTGGACCCATCACGGAACACGTCTCATACTTCGCTTTCGGAAAAAGCGAGAACTGAATAGTAATGGTACTCCGTGTCAATGACAACACACCGCACAATATGATACTTCAAATGCTAGCACAGAAAAAAAAGTATACACTTTGTCACACGCACAATGCACAAATATAACGATACAAACTGATTGCGTTATTGAATGTAAAGAGAAGGCCCTATGATCGTGGCCTGATTTTACGCAGCGGCAACGGATTGCTGAACAGGTCTTCCAAATCCTCAGGGTCTCCCATTTGCATCGCCTCCATCTGCTCCAACACCTCCCTGTCCTCCTTCCTCAGCCCCTTCACAAAGTTCTGCTCATCCTTGAACAGCTCCGCAAATCCTCTTCTGAGGCCCTCAAAGAGCTTCAGTTCATCCCTGCCTGCTTCCACCACCTTCTCCTCCAGCTGGATCACCTCTGCCACCACTGCCTTCTCTGCCTCCACCACCTTCTCTTCAAACTGCACCACCTCAGCCACCAGTGCCCTCTCCACCGCCTCCACCTTCTTCTCCAGCCGTGCAAACAGGGGCTGCTCGGCAGGGCACGTGTTATCTGTCGTGATGAAGTCTGCAAAGTTGAGGCCCACCGACTGTGCAGACCGTTCCAGCTCTGGGATAATGCTTGGTGGGATAGTGCGGCTGCGAGTGTACAACACTGCTCCACCGTACCCGTCCCAGGCGTCGTTGCTGCCCCGATAATAAACAAAGAAGTAATCGTCCTTGGTGCCACTGATGTTTGACGAGATGACAAACCTGCAAAGGGACCATTCGTCCACATTGAAGGGTCACAGATAACAAGGGAAACTTGCATCAGGATAAGGTTTGGGTGCTCATATACAATAAAGAGCACACTCACCGACCTTCCCCTTTTTGTCTATGCCCCCAACAGTATAACCTACATGGGTGGTACCCGAGTCATCTTGGAATAGATGCATATGTTATGTAAACGGAACTTTGCACAATATCCAGCTATGGCTGCTTCCATCAAAATCTTTTTGAATGATTCAGAGCATATGCAATGTTCCCTTCTTCCCCCTCCCATCCCGTTCAACTTACCCGCTTTCCCTCCAAAATCCACCCTCTCCCCAACTCACCAGGCGTCCTAGTAGTGCAGAAAAACGACTTTACAATTCCCGATCTCCCTTCACCCATTCTCTTACCCTCTCCCCCCATTCGCTCTTCACCCAGCCTCCCCTTCCATTCGCCGTCCCCATCCCCACCCCTACCCCTTGCGCCACGTACCAGTCGTCCTGGTAGTGCAGGAACTCGTTGTCGTGGTTGAGCAGCACGCCGGGTCGCACGGGGTCCTGCACGAAGTCCTGCAGCGCGGACCGCGTGAAGAACCCGCCGTCAGGCGTGTTGATGCGCCACGTGATGTCCACGCGGAACTGCCCCTCGCCCGTCGGCTGAAACGTGTGCAGCTGGCAGTCGTACGTGTCGAACGTGGGGTTGAGTCCACTGGAGATGAACCACGGCCCGTCCAGCTTCCCCACGTCGAATTCCGTCACCAGCGCGTCGTCCGGCGGGAGCGGGAAGAGGTTCTCGTCCGCCTTTTGCGGGACGCAGCCGGACTTGGTGATGGCGCAGGCGTTGAAGCGGTCGACGACCTGGTTCTCGAAGAGGTCTCCGCACCCGATCTGGCACTCCGTCTCGTCGGGGCGCCCGTTGCACGACTGCAGGCACGCGATGTTCGCCGCGCACTTCACGTCGCCCAGACACTGCAGCAGCTCCGTTCTGCGTGGTTGTGGTGAAGGAGACGGGAGGAGAGGAAACCAAGGGGGGGGGGGGGAGAAAGGGAAGGAGGCGGGAAGGCATTGAAGAAAGGGGGGAGCGGAAATTTGCGGAAAGGGCACGGCGGGAGACGGGAGCAGAGAACGTGGCAACCGTTCTCGCGCCATCTCGCGGGTGCGACGGAAAGGTCTTGGGCGTATCGCGTGCGGCGTGGAATCCATCAAGAAGGGCTGCCGCCACGACTAGTATGTATGTCCGCGCTGTAGTGGCCATTTTTCTTGTGAACTTAATAACCACCCGATGCTCATTTGGGGTCTCTTTCTTTCTTTTCGAACTTGGAAGAATCTTGGACATCACGCACAAGTCACTTCCTCATAATCATCCCCTCCGGTACGCTCTCGACGGCTCACCTGCACTGGCCCAGCAGGCATGTACACGTCTTGAGCGTGTCGGCCGCGAGCGCCATGCCGCCGCTGCCGCTGAACGGGTCGCTCAGCGCCAGCACGCACGCCAAACCCGCAGCGGCAACCCCCCGCATCAGCCACGAGGAGTCTCGTCCGCGCTCCTCGCTGCTGCCGCTTGCTCGCACCGGCCGTGACGACGCTGGTTGACGAGGAGCGCTGGCGCGAGAGGGTGCGCCGTGTCGCGCAGCGAGTGGCATGCGGCGAAGGCCAACGTACGGCGCAGTTACGTGTGGGTTGTGGAGAGACGGAGTCGGCAGTGGCATGATGGCGTGCATACGCAGGCCAGTGCCCGCGTGAAGGGAGGACAGCGCCATAGCGACGATATCTTGGTTCAGCTGGCGCACAAGCCCGTGGTACCTACTTGGAACGTCGTTGCTATCCTCGTTGAGGCAGCGAAGATTGATGATGAGCGATGGAGGGGCAGCTGTGTGGAAAAAGCAACACAGTGGCAATAAATGTGCCGCAGGGCAGCGAGAGATGCAGGGAGATCCCCGAGGCTGGCCAAGAGAGGATACCACACATGAATCGCGAAACCGTGGCGCAGCGTGCGAGAGCGAAACTGGGCTTTCATTGGCTGAGTGACGACTTGCGAAACTGGTTACAAAGTCCTCCTGGCCGCACTTTTAGATCCGTCCAGCCTTTCGTTCAGGTGCAGTTGACGTGGGCCGTTTACATCCACGTGGAGTTGGCTGACCTGGTCTCGACTCCCTCGGGATCAATGGCCTGTTGCCTTGGGCTTGTGTGGTTGGTTCGGGGGGAAGCCCGAAGCGCCTGTTCTTGAGCAAAGCCCCGCCTATTTCTGGCCAGAAACATGCGTCATCGCTCGAAGAGGCCTCATTACTGTACACGTATTAAGAGAGACTTCTCAAGATAGAAATGTGACCATCACTTTGATTGTACTTCTACAGGCGACTATAAACGTGGTATTGCAGAATTAATCTACAGGTTCACATGCATACTCATAGGTAAATGGATCATCACAGTACGCAGTTTCATAAGTATATATATATCACACCATGCGAACCTTGATGCAAGGCTATCCAGTGAAAAATGGTGGTGGTGGGCTGCCGCGAACCAAGAGTGTTGGGAGATTTCCATTATTATTTTTTGCAAAATATATCATACTCATGGATGCCTTGTGCACAATATGCTGACTTGTCACAACAAAACAGCTGTTTTCTTTTTCCCACCAAGCTCGTCGGGACGGTGTCAGCCCAGTGTGCTTCCCCAACGCAGCCCCTTCTCTTCAAAACCCACGCCCACCTTTGTGGGGTTCGAAAAAGCAAAATGCCTACACGACACAACCCTGCATGGTACAGGGCAGCTCCCTCACTGACAATTTTTGGGCTGCGCCGCGAGCAAGAACCATCGTGCGTGCGATGAGATATTTAGGGCGACGTCAGGCTGTACACTTCTCACACATTCTTGTATCGTGGCTCAGGACGATTCCACACGGTGGAAAGCGGTTTTCAAAGGTCACCGTTTTTCACCGTGACGAAACGAACTTGACCGCAGGAAGCGTACAAAAAGTTGGTTCAGCCTGGCAACGCCCTTATTTAGCCGTTGAGGTCTTCCGATCTCGCATTCAGCAAGCTGACGGGGTCTTCTCTACCCGACACTAGAACTAAAGCCGGACACGGTAACGTGTCTGTGTGTAGAACATCTTAATACTGTAGTACCATCAGTTTGTGATTTATTCATCGCAACCATTCAGATAATCATAGGCCACGGCGCGCTCACGAAAGCTCATTTACTTTATTTGTTTTCATAATCATAGTAGGATCGAGAGTAACCGTCAGCAGCGCCGCGTCAGCAATACGAGTCGACTCGTGTAGATCACATCCTGCTTCGACACGTAGTAGCGCAATCATTGCATTTGCCAATGGCCTCCGCCGGCCACATGCGGCCGCGGAATCGCTGCTCCATCCTCCGCACTTGACGCCCCTCGGGTCTCTCGACTCCAGAGGCGGCGCGTGTGAGCTGTGGCCAGGAAATGGCCGGCGCGCGCCGCCGTGAGAGACGCGTAAAACAGCAGCAGCAGCCGTTGAGTCAACGCCGGAAGCAGCGGCAGCAGCGGCGCGGCGCGCTGGAACTCGCGTGGTGCCTCGCCGCGCTAGCCGCCACGCGCCTCGCCACGCCCTTCGCTATGGTCCACGCCGTGTCTCTCGAGGCCTCGCAATGTGAGATGCCGCCGGTTGTAGTACTTAGCACGGAGTACCGTATAAGTGACCTTGGCGAAGTCATCGGGTCGCAGTGCAACAACCACCTTCCCCGGACTCTTTTCCCAGTATTCCACTTCATCTCCCTCTCTCTCCCCCTCCTCCCCGGTTCTCCTGCCCTCTATCCTCCCCCATCATCATCTTCCCATTCCCCCCTTTCCTTTCCACCACCCATTCCTCTCCCCCTTTTCCGGTCAACACCCCTTCCACCCTCCACTTCTCCCGTTCCCCCATCCCCCAACCGCTCCTCCACACCGCTCCACACACCTCCACACCCCGCAGTGCAGTTCCTACAGGACTGCCAGTCCGCATGGGGGCGGACGTTCCCCGGCTGGAGTGGCGCCAACCCCCGCTGTTCATCTGTTTCCTATATCAGCTGTGACAGTAGCGGGATGATCGTGAGCATGTGAGTTCCGTGCACGGTGCATGCATGGGCACGCACTGCACTGCGCGCCCATGTGGGGAAGATGACGCCCCGCGGCGCTCATGCAGGGGGGATGCGCCCACTGGACGCTCATGCAGGGGGGAAGGGGCTGCGAGTGCGATGCAATGCAATGCTATGCGGTGCAATGCGATGAGATGCGATGGGATGCGTTGATGCATACCCCTATAGAGCAACCATGATATTGAAGTTACCATGGTGTATGCTAAATCATGTGGTGCGATGCATTGTGTTGGTGCAGAGACCTAATGATCAAGGATCTGCAAGGGCCCATTCCCGACTCCATTGCCAACCTCAGGCACCTCAAATTCCTGTACGTGCTCTGCTGTCCCCCACCCCCCACCCCCCTCCTGAGCTGAGCCGAGCCGAGCCGAGCCGAGCCGAGCCGAGCCGAGCTGAGCTAAGCTGAGCTAAGTTGCGTGTCTGGAAGGAAGAATTGGTCTTATGTGGGGCATGATGTTTCAGCCGACTGAATAGTTGCATTTGGCATGCAGGGGGGACCAGTGGAGAAACACAGTGGGGGAGTGGGTACAGGCTGTAAGGCCATTCCCATCGCAACTGTACAGGGTCTCTCCGTCAGATCACAAGTGCTTGGTACTCTGCTCTGTTGCTCCGTCTCCAATCATTCTCCTTTTGCTTCTTTTCCTGCTGTTTTCTCTAGTCCATTCCATCTCAACTCTCTCTCAACCTGTTTCACATTTCTGTCGAATGAACTGTCTGTGTTCCGTGCAACAGAAATTTAAATGAGAATCAGCTCTCAGGCTCAATCCCTTCCTCATTGTACACTCTAACAAAGCTGGAATACCTGTAAGGCCTTTCTTAGGACCCTTGCCTTCACTCTCCCAACTCCCGTCTTTCCTGTCAATCCCCTTGTCCGACCTTTGCTAAAGCCTCCGTACATGCTGTAGTCAAGAATCACCACAATGCCTACTTGTTGTTTCAGCTTTTTTTGTTTGTTTGTTTTTTTCCTGTTATTGTTGTGTTGTTGTTTATGTTAATTATTCTTGTTTGGGTACTTTTGTCGAGATTCACTTTCTTTCATTGCGACCTCCCACTCACCTCGGTTTACTCCCACCGAGTGCTCGCATGTGCACTCGTCATCACGGCAGAGGCCTCTCCGAAAACTCTTTCACGGGCTCCATCCCAGCAGCGATCGGCAACCTTGTGAAGCTCAACGACCTGTATGTACACGCTTCTTGAGGCCTCGCACAACATCTGAGAGGCCTGTAATCCCTCTGCCTTCTTTCTCATGCGTGCATGCCTTGCCTACATGCTACTGCCAACCCTCCTCTCCAGTCTTTTCTCTCCATCATTTGAAGGTAATCTTTTGTTTCGCTCTGTCTTGTTTCTGCTCTGCTCTAAACTCATGAGCCTTCTGTTTCGAGTTGTATATGTATATATGCATATATCCATTCTAGAATATGGAGCTCCCTCTTTGTGCTAGATTGGTCGCTACACTTAACTTCCATAATTTCCACTTTTTTTTTTTTTAATCTTTCTATCCTTTCTTCCCGGTTCATTGTCATCATCGTTCATCCAGGTACCTGTTTCACAACCAGCTCAGCGGCCCAATCCCTGCTGCAATCAGCAACCTCACAAACCTGTTTTACCTGTAATACCGCCTCTGCTTCTCACCCCCTTGAGCCTCCGCCTGTCCATCCTATCACATCCCTCTATGCCATTTTTCTTTTTCTAGCAGCCGTTTTTTCCCCTTCCCAATACAACCCTCCGTTTTCTCCCTCACTTTGCGCCTTTACAGATACATGTATGGTAATCAGCTCACGGGGTCAATACCCGCTGCAATCGGTGACCTTAGGAACCTGAACTACCTGTGAGCTCTCTTTTATGATTCGACTCAAAGTCACCTCTCTGCTCTGCTTTTCTTCTCTGCTTCCTAACGGTCCTCATCGAATGTAATAAATGGTACAAGTGTAAGACAAGTACAATTTAAACTAATTTGCTTCTATGAAGAGGATATCAGCAGGCATGTAAGTGGTGTCCCTGCCCCTCTGTCTCTGCCACTCCCCTCCAATCTCCCCCCTGCTCCTGCTGCATCCTGAAAACCCTCTTGTTCCCTGTCCATCCAACCATCTTCCTCCTTCGACTCTCCATCCCAGTCCATGTCCCACCACCCTCTCCTCTTCTGTACATAAATAGTATTGCATGCGTCATGCCGATGTTACCCCTCTCCTCCCCGCTGCCACTACAATCTCCACCCACTCACGCCACGCATTTCTGGTTATTAGTTGTCCTCCCATACCATATCTTCCTCTTCTGGATCTGTACCTTTTGTTGTCCTGCTACTCCTCTCTTCTCACCTTTCCTCTTGCCTGACTCATTTCGCTCATACCATTTACATTCTTTCCTCTCCTTTCACATCCTCTTCTTTCCTTCGCTCTTTCCTTTCCCCCTCTGTGTAGCTCTTCTCTTTTGCCAATTTGTGCATTTTCGCCCTTAAATTCTCTCCCCACTCCCCTCCCCGCCCCTCGTCTCTCCTCGTCCAACTCGTTGTGGATTAAACCTGAACTCCAACGTACAATCCCCGTGTATGATCTGCCTTTCCCTTCATAACAGAACCGTATCTCTGGAGCCGTCTCAGAACCACCCCTGGTTGCTTCTTGTTGTCTGCCCGTCCTGCAGATCCCTTGAAAGGAATAAGCTCACAGGTTCAATTCCCACTTCCATCAGCAATCTTACAGGCCTCACAAACCTGTAAGCCCTTATAGAATCATTCTGTGCTCATTCAACTGCTGGGTTTGACTGACTCAGGCCAATTAATGCTCTGCCTTTCCTTGTTTACATCAATGCTCTGGCACTCCTCGTTTACTCCGTATCACCCCGTTGATTGTTGTCCCCCATCCACTCACTACAGTCTACTGCCTTATGAATCTTGCCTGCCTGGCCCCCGCATGGTTTACTGCCAATGTGCTGACGTGGGATGTGACATTGTTCGTGGATGGGGTGTACTATTGACTGCTGTCATCACCTCAGGAACGTGCTTTTCTGCCATGGGCCCATCACACCTTGAACCCTCTGCGCATCCATCTCATGCCCCGTTAATGTCCATCTCAAAAACAGAAAACTTAATGACAATCAGCTGACGGGCTCACTCCCTGGTTCGATAGGCAACCTCAAGAACTTGGTGTCTCTGTAAGCCCACTCTTTCCTATCTGCGCCCCTCCTCTCTGCGCTTCTACCTTCCAATTGCTTATCACGAGGTTCGGCCTAATATGAGCCCAACCACTCCATTCAGCCCTTCTCCTCCTCCTCTCCTTCCCATTGCACGTACCACAACTCTCTCTCCTTCCCCGCGCATGACAACGCATGTGCTTCATCTACTGGAGCTTACTCAATGTTACTGCAGCCTTGCACCCACAAACTTACCCACGATTTTTGTTTGTTTGTTTGTTTTTTTTTTTTTTTGTTTTTTTTTTTTTTCTTCTTTGGGTGTAGGGTTAAAAATTGCACTTTTTCATCCCACAGTCCCCTTTCCCCCAGCATGTATTCACTCTCTCGCCTGCCGATGTGCTCTCCTCCAGGGACCTTAGCAGCAACCGCTTGACAGGCCCCATCCCTCCATCCATCAGCGGCTTGAGAAATCTCCGTATCCTGTCAGTATTGCCATGCCATACCACGCCATGCCATGTCAAGCCATCCCAAGCATATCTTGTAGGGGTAATTTCCTGTATCTGCATATTGTCTCATGATGCATGGCTGATCTTCAATACCCCTCGTGACCCCATCCATGCGTCAACCCTGCCTCTTATCACTCCCCTCTACCTCCCAGAAGCCTAGAGAGAGTGTTAGAACCGCATCTTCCTGCTCCCACCCCTCTGTCCGGCAGGCACATGGAGAAGAATGAGTTGGAGGGCAGCTTGCCTGGAAGCCTCTTCACACTCACGAATCTGCTCTGGATGTAAGACGCTGCCACACACCATCACACACCCCATCCCATCCCATCCCATTCCATTCCATCCCATCCCTCTCTCGAGATCATCCCTGGGGTGCTCTCAATCAGACCATGTTCATATCCCTTGCCCTACCATCACACTTCTCTTCATCCACTGCCAGTTAAAGAGCACAGCAGTGCGATACACTGTGGTACAGTGCAGTGCGGTACAGTGCAGTGTGGTGCAGTGCAGTGTGGTGCAGTGCAGTGTGGTACAGTGCATTTCAATCAAACATTTCGTCAGGCTGCCAGAAGTGCAGTGCGGGGAGAAAAGAAGGAGCTTGCTCTAGTTGCAGCAGCATCGGAGCTGCAGCCAACCTGAGAGCATCTCATACAGTGCATCTTTCAATGGCGCGTCCACTGCAATGCACTAAATCTCTGCCTCTCCCCGGTGGCTGTGTGCACGAGTGCAGGGAGCTGAGCATGAACAAGCTCGCAGGGCCTGTGCCCTCCACCATCAGCAAACTGTCCAACCTCTGGTCGCTGTCAGTTGCTCACCTTGCTCTGAGTTGCTTAATGGGGAGCTTACTTGCTCACCTCACTCTATGTCCTGTGTGACTTGTGCTGCATTCCTCCAACAAGCCACGATACCATCCCTGCCCCGGATGCGCCCATCCATGCCTCTACCTCCGTGTGTCTTATGGCCATGTATCACGCATGGCGGCTGTAATCTACGAAACACAAGCGTCCTCTTGCCACCCTTTCTTCTTTGCTGTCTCTCGCTCTCGCTTTGCCTTCCCTTTGCTCTGCCCTTTCCCTCCCTTTCAATGTACCTCACAGTCGCACATCACATACTCGCACATCTCTCGCAATACCACACTACACCGCACTCTATGCCGAGCCAGCCCCTTGCGATTCACCACTTGTTCCAAGGCTAAATTGAAACTGCACGTGGCACCCCTGTTTTTGGCAGACGCCTGCACAGCAACCAACTTGTGGGAACCATCCCTGACACGATACGCAGCCTGACTGCCTTAGTCTACCTGTGAGCCCGCACCGCAATAACAACCATCTCTGCATCCAACGCTGCTGCACTCACTCACCCTTTCCCTCAAGCTGCAAGGTGATTCCCAGAATCCTAAACCTCCAGCAACAAGCACCCAACGTTTCTACTCCATGTGCTCCGGCCGTGCCGTACCTCCCATGCTCTCCAACATTGTATCACAGATGATGCTTGCGTGGCCACAGCTTCCAGTTTTGCACCATCCTTACGCCATAACCCATCGTTCATCTACCACAAGCCATCTCTTATACAGTTGTCTTCTGCTCCTTGTCTTCCCTCCCTATCCACCCAAACCTCCTCGCTTCCCCTGGCCACTGCGTGCCGTGGGCACGGGCATCAGGTCGCTGGCATACAACCAGCTGTATGGCACCTTGCCCGCGTCTCTCTCACAGCTCACGGTTTTGAGGGAATGGTACGCACAGCACAACTAGCACCACTCACTGGCGCGCATGCTGAGTCAATCCTCTTACCCCGGCACTGTGATGTGAGCTATGAGCTGTCATTGATGAGTGCGCACATTACCTTGCTCATACACTCTTGACGCATAACAGTCACAGGCGTATACCGCAATAAACTTCTCTTCAGATTCCTTCTGCATACCAGCTGCCTGTGTTTCTCACACCCCCAACAAACCACCACTCCCACTTCCCTTTGTCTTCCCCTCCCCTTTCCAGTGATCTCTCACACAACTACCTCACAGGTCCTCTTGAAATCATCACAGAGATCAGAATGGACGTGGCAAACAACTACCTCTCGGGTGCAATCTCAGAACCCACCTGCACGCACCACAACATCATCGCCAACTGCTTCGCACTCACCAGTGCGTGCAGCGCTGACCTGCTGCAGAGGCCAGCAGCAGAGTGCGCAGCGTTCTGCGGCATCACCAACACCACTTCTGCGTGTGAAGGCCATGGCACGTGTTATCCGAACGGGCCTAGCTTGGTGCCTACGTGCATGTGGTGTGACCCGGGGTTTTTGCAGCTTCAAGGAAACACCTGCATTGCTGAAGGTACATACGTGCCCTTTGCTCAAAGAAAAAAAATATAGGAAGCTTTGCTTAACCATTGCTGTAGACTGGCAATCACAAGCAGAGTAACAGCATGTGCACTGGAACAAAACACAATCTCTTTTCTTCCTTTCTTCCTCCCCACTGCCTCCCCACCGATCCTTTCAGAGTGGGTCAACACCCTTCCTGTGAGCAGCGCCATTCTCCCGCCCTTCACCATTCTCACCAAGGGCACCAAGCGCGAAACAGCAGGGAAGTTCATGGCAAAGCCAGTCACCCTCTTCGCATACCCGCCCGGCCTGTCCCAAGCCCAGGGATGCGGTGTGGAGCTAGCTTTCGCTGTCAACTTCACCTTCTCCCTCGTTCCCGAGTCTGGCATTATCGGGTCCAACGGATTTGCGTTTGTCATTGCAGCAAAGGCCAAGGTGGGGAGGGGAGACGGCGTGGGGTATGGTGGGGTGGGAGTGCGGAGCCTAGCTGTGGAGTTTGACACGTTTCAGAACGGCAACCACAGCGATGTGAGCCGGCAGCACGTGGGGCTGAATATCAACGGCCTGGATCGATCCTTGGTCGCTGAGGTGTCCCCTTACACACTCACGGACGGCAATGCGTACACGGCATGGGTGGACTATCAGCCTGGGGATCCCGGCACCATGCGGGTGTTTCTAGCTGATTCCAGGACCAAGCCAGAAGAACCTCTATTGCAGGAGGAGTTTTCCCTGTGTGCGGTGCTGCAGGGTGGTGTGCGGCAGGGCGCGTTTTTCTTTGGGTTTGTGGCATCGACCACGGAGAAGCCGTTCCAGCTGCATGGCATAGTGCGCTCCGCCGTGCAAACAGGTCAGGGCGTGTTGGGTGGGGAGACGGGGATGGTGATGGGGATGGTGATGATGATGGGGATGGTGATGGGGATGGTGATGGGGATGGTGATGATGATGGGGATGGGGATGGGGATGGGGATGGGGATGGGGATGGGGATGGGGATGGGTATGTCTTGTCTCTGTATGCCAATCATATGGCTCTGTCTCTAACCTCATTTTGTGTCTCTTGCTGTTTCTTCCTTCGTCCCATGTTTGTGTTTCCACTCGCAGGCTTCTTTACACTCAAGTCAGTCCGCATTAAAGAGCAAGGTGAGCAAACTCTGTCACACATGTAAGCAGCTTTGATATTCGCCATTCAAAACTATTATGCACGTCATCCACATGCCTCTCTCTCCTTCCTTCCCCCACTCCTTCCTCCACCCCTTCCCCCCCTCTCTCACAGCCCGCGGGCTGGCACTATCATCGGGCACATACGCGCCAGCGAGAGCCGGCCCGTTCCTGCGGTATGTGAGCACGGATTATGAACTGGCGTCCAACGATGAAGACTCGTGGCGCATCCGTGACTTCCACACCTGGAACTCCATCGACTTCCTTGGGTGGCCCGTCAAGGATCAGGCCAATTGCAGTGAGTGGCGTGGAATGAGGGTGGCACATCGTGGTTGCAATTTAGAATAAAAGTTTTTGGATACCGGTGCACGTGCACCTTTGTAAATTTGCCGTTCCTCCTTACCCGCATCACATGCCCCACCCACCATTCTTTTACTGCTTCTCCTCAGATGCGTGCTGGGCGTATGCGGTGGTGGCGAGCATAGAAGCAGCGTACGGCATTGCAAGGCATCACAGCGCGCCCCAGCTGTCAGTGGAGCCGCTCTTTGCAGCCATGGGGTTGGCTGATCAAGACAAATGCTCCGCTGGAGGCTCACCCACCGAGGCCTTTGAAAAGCTCGTTGCTCTTGATGCCGGCAGTGGGCTCACCTCGGTCAGTGAATCCGTAAGTTGTGGGTCATGTCAAAATACAGGAGGCAGTGAGACTAGTCTTTACAGCCAGCCATCTGAGTTGCTGGTCCAGACAAATGCTTGGCTTCCTTGGAGAATCTGTCTCTCTTGATGCTGGGAGTGGGCTGACTGGGGTCAGTGAATTGGTAAGTTGAGGAGGGTTAGAGTTGTTTGATGAGTGATGTGAGGTGAGGTAGAGGTATGAGAGTGCATGCAAAAACATTTGAAGTTGAGATAGAGGTATGAGGGTGAATGCAATCCCTTGTTTTTCCTGCTTTAAGAAGTTCAGATAGGTTGAAGCACCTTATGAGAAGCAGGAGCAGTGCAGGCAGGTGTTGGCATTTGAGCGACATGCATGCAGTTCGAGGGACATGTGCAGCCCATGTTGACACGCAGTTATCAGCATCTTTTTTTTCTCCCAACAACCCCTGTGCGCTCTTGTCTGATCTGATCTGATCTGCAGGCAACAAAGTACCCCATCCAGGGATTTGAGCGCACATCATTCAAGGGGTATGTGGGGCTCATGCTGGCAGTGCGGCGGCAGCCAGTTGTGGTTCACATTGAAGCCTCTGCTGACACGTTTGTCAGCTACGACGGGGTGAGTCCCTGCAATTGCAACACTCACTTGCAAACTGACATTTGTTCATTCATATGTCTTCATTGCAATCCCTCGTGCTTTAACTTGGTCTGCTTGAACTTCAATGCAATGCCAGCATAGGTGACTATACCTCTCCTTGCGTCTGCCTCTATTTTTTTTCTTCAGACGTTCAAGTACCAGGATCCTGAGTGCTACACGGGCAATCTGAACCACGTTGTACTCGTTGTAGGCTACTTTATTAATAGAAACGATGGCAGCCAGAACCGCATTGCCCCGCCGTTTTGGATCATCCGCAACTCGTGGGGAGAGGAGTGGGGCGACAGGGGCCACATGCGCATGGACATTCAGGGAGGGGATGGCGTGTGTGGCATCAACGTGCTGCCTGGCATCTACCCCATTGTCAAGAGTGAGACACTTATTCCAACTTCTGGTCTTACTTTAACTAAAGATGGCTAGTCTGCGAGGAACATACACACCGACTAGTACTTACCTTCCTTGTACCCACCTACTAGGGTGACTTGAGTTGCACAGTCGCAGTCCGGTTCCCTCTGTGTTACAACCTTGCAGCTTCCATCTCAATGCACCTCCCTCCCTCACATGCATCGTCCCTGTCTTTTCTTCTCCAGTCCCGGGGGACCCGTGCAGCAGCAACAGCTACAGGGGCGACCAGGATATGTCTGGCATGAACCCGTGCGGTCGGTTCAGGTGCAATGCGGTTGACGACACCAGCTATACCTGCACCTGCACCATAGAAGGAGCTGCCCGGCAGCCGTTTGTTGAGGCTGACAACGGGAATGGCGCCAGCACGTGTGCTTATGGTGAGCTGGAAGGTTCTACCGGGTACTGGGTACTGGTGTGCTAGGTTGCAACAGCACTGCCGCGCAGCACCTGCTGTGGCTGCAGCACCGGCAGGTTCAGTTCATACTAGTGAGAGTCGGAAGGAGCGGAGGTGGTAGGGGAGGCGAGGGAGCATTGGAACCCCACACTTGTGGCCCCATTTTCCTTAATCTTCTCCTCTATGTCCCATCCCCGATGCTATCTATCCATGACCACCCCAATGCCATGGCACCATCAGTGGACGTGTGTGGGTCGTACTTCAAGAACCCCTGCTACGTGGGCACATGCATTAACGACGGCAGAGGCTCCTACTCCTGCATCTGCCCTCCCAACCACGTTGAAAGCACCACTGTCTATGACACCCCCACCTGCGACCCAGGTAAAAAGTTGCTCTATTGTTTGGCAGTGTGCGTTTCTCCTGTTCTCAATCTCCTTTTGTTTTCATCCCAAGTCTGTACTGTATGTCATACCACAATTTTTGAGAGTTGGTGTAACCTGAATATGCACAATCTCCAAACTTGCCTCCTTTACGTGACGTCTCCATCTCCCTGCTTCACTATCTCTCTACGTGCTTTCCAGTCAACACCACAGCCACCAGCATGACAGTCAGCGGAGTCAACTGGTGGTGCTCAGATATCTATCCCCTTGTCGGCCTCTCACTGGCTGATTTCACACTCCAAAATGCGGTAAGGGCTGGGTAAATGAATGGGATTAGAAGGCTCGCCGTCATTCCATTCGCTTTTTTTCCCCCCTGCTCCAACTGGCCTTCTACATATCACCGCACTTTCATCAATCTCCCATGCTTTACTGCTCCATGTCTGAGACACTTCACTTGGTCTCATGCATTCTTGTTGCTCCATGTTATGTTCGCATTGCATTGGAATTGTGTACGAAGCTTTGTATACCTCACGCCCATGCAAGGTGCGGTAAGACCTTCTCTCACCATGCCCCTTTTCCTCACATGTGCGTCACATCACAACAACTGCAGGCAGTGGACTGCAGCGCGCCATTGCCCAAGGGCACCGTCCTCCAATTGGCTGCCACGCCCACCACACCCTGCACTGCCTTCTTCTACACCCTCCATGTGAGATGCCATACCATGCCCTCGGGATTGCACCAGCTTTTGATGCGCCTCAAGTGCCTTTTCTTCTCCCTCTCCATGTGATGCGATTCCAGTTGGATCCCACCAGCCATACCATGCACACCAAGTCGTCCCAATTAGTGCCATCCCACGCTAGATCCAATGCTACGTGACATTCCCAATGCCCAGTGCGCTATGTATGTGTAACCAGCACATGCAGCCTACCTCTCTGTTCCCCACCATGTTCAACCATGCACACACCATGCTCCAGGGAGACCTCTGTTCAACCATTGCGGATCAGACCAACTTGGATGAAGCCTCCCTGTCTGCGCTCAACCCCGGGCTTGACTGCTCCACGCCCATCAAGGCGGGCCGTTCCGTGTGCATCGAGCGCAACGCCGCATTCGCCTTCACTGTCCCTGAGTGTGTGAAGCACGGCATGCTCACGCCGCAAGACACTTGCGAGCGGCTGCTTCAGAGAACTGTGAACGAGCCTAACCTGAGCGCAGAGCACTGGACCGAGCTCTACCGCAACAACCCCGGCCTGACTTGCTCCGACAACATCCCTGCCTCTGCCTCTGTTGTTGGCAGCAAGATTGGCGTGCAGGTGAGGTCTTGTGATGGGCAGGACAGAGGCAAGGGAGGGAGGAAACGGAAGGGAACAGCTGATGTGGACAAGGATGGTTGTGCTCTGTCTGCTGACAGTGCCCACCTGGGGCAGGGTGCTCTTCTTGCTGCTCGCCATTTTGTTTTATTTCCTTTCTTTTTTCTTTTCCTTTCTTTCCTTTCTTTCTTCTTTCCTTTCTTTCCTTTCCTTTCTTTTTTCTTTTTTTGATTTCTGGCCAGGCCTTGTCATGTTTAGGTTTCTTTGACTTCCTTCTCATTTCATGTGCTTTGCACTCGCACCTGGGCATCTTTCTGTTCCAGGTGTGCCTTAGGGCAGATTATTGGTCATTCAGATTGGGCTTCTGCAAGAAGGGAAGGGTCAAGCCAGTCTCACCATCAATGGCGTGTTCAGCTGCTTACCGATTTTACGGCGGAACTACCACCACAGCTATTTCAAATTTCTATGAGTATAATGCGCGGTCCTGCTCTGGAACTGTAGGAGATAAATATATTTGTGTGCCAGCATCATACTGACACTTCAACCTCTCGAATGCTGTAAGAATGACGTGTGAATATCATATTTGTTCATAAACCCAATTGTTCATTGCCAACAGAGTTTGCATCAAGGAAATATTATTGCATGACAAAGAGAGGTACCATTTGATTCAGCTACATTAAACACCCGGATACAGGGCTCAGGTTATCAGTGTAATTTACCCTTCTACACTGATTACAAGGGTGAAATTTTGGGTCTACACTGATGTGCTGGGGTAATTTTTTTATGAGTTAGTGTTACACTGATCAGTAAGTGTATCGATGTAGGCCACACTGATGCCTTGGGGTAAAGTTTCCCTTAGCGAGGATTACACTGAAGAGCGTACACGGACCCCCACACCCACCCCCCCCCTCCCCCCCCCCACCCGCCCCCCCCCCCCTCCCCCCCCTTCCCCACAAACAATCGGTCGAGGGGGAGGGGAGGCGAAACTCTCGCCAATTTCGTAAGTCCTCCCCCCCTTCCCCCCCCGCCCCTCACAAACAATCGATCGAGGGGGAAGGGGAGGCGAAATTGTCGCCAATTTCGTAAGTCCTCCCCTTCCCCCCCGCCCCTCACAAACAATCGATCGAGGGGGAAGGGGAGGCGAAATTGTCGCCAATTTCGTAAGTCCTCCCCTTCCCCCCCGCCCCTTTCAAACAATCGATCGAGGGGGAAGGGGAGGCGAAATTGTCGCCAATTTCGTAAGTCCTCCCCTTCCCCCCCGCCCCTCACAAACAATCGATTGAGGGGGCAGGGGACCTGGGAGGCAGATAACTTTCTCGCCACCTGTCATACACACCTAATTTACACATGGTCAGTGCTTGAAATAAAACCACACTGATGATGCAGGGTAAAAATTTCAAAACCTGATGTTACACTGCTCTATCAGTGTAATGGAAAAGTACACACTGCCCATAAGGGTTTTTGAAAAAGCTACACTGCCAATCATGAGTAGGCCAAAACCAAACCTGAGCCCTGCCCGGATAGAAGACCCCCTCCCGGTCTATATTAAGAGGAGGGGTATTCTGTTTGTGTCAGTTGTAGTTGTACCCCTATACGGCTGAAAACATAATTGTACAGTATCTCTATTTGTCATTTTATGTGCATTTATGAGGACCCAACAACCCACGTTTACCTTTTTGGGATTTTTTGTATTTGCGAAGTAAAAATATTACAATGTAGCATAATTACGCAAGGAAAAGGAGTGGAAACGGGAAGAGAGGAGAAAAGGAGGAATAACGTGAGTAGAAAAAAGGAGAGAGGAAGAAAGAAGGAGGGGAATAGGGGAAAAATGATAGGAGGAAGAAAAACAGGGAAGAAGGAAGAAAAAGCAGCACACACAACCCCAAGAAAAATCGAATAGCACACACATTTAAAACACCATCAAGCCCTCCCATCAAAGCACCCCAACTGCACTCCCATCGAACCAAACCTCCCCCCCTAAACCCACTCCCTAAACCCGCATGTCTACCAAGTATGGTGCATCCGCCCACGGAGCATCCCATCCCATCTCCTCCTCAACATCCTCCCGCTCCACCCAAACAGCCTCTGGGCCTCTCATCATCGACGCCGCGCGTAACAAGATCAAATAAGCCGCTTTACCTTTTTGGGGTGACAAAGACGAGATCTTTGGCCGTTGAATGTTTCTGAATTGTTGATCTGACACACAGTGAGCTGGCGAGATCGTGCACTACAGTACAGTGCCCTAGACTAAGTGGAACCGCTCTGACCTGCCGGGATGAAACCCTCCTTTCCAGCTCGCTTGTGCCATGTGTTGTTGGAGCAGGCTTGCTCCTCCCTTCCAGAATCCACACCCAGCCCAGCAAAGCACAGGGCCATCATGTGTCTGAAGGTACATATTTATATTGTACCTAACTGTTTGAGATTTTTTTCCGCACTTATCCACATAATCATAGGCCACGGCGCGCTCACGTAAGCTATTGTATTTATTATTACGATTATTATTATTTTCACAAACGTAGTAGGATCGAGTATAACCGTCCGTCAGCAGCGCCGCGTCAGCAACTCGACGTACCGTGTAGATTTCACCCGACACGTAGTAGCGCAATCAATACATTTCCCAATGGCCTCCGCCGGTCACATGCCGCCGCAGAACCGCTGCTCCATTCTCCGCGCTTGGCGTCACTCGGGTATCTCGCCTCCAGAGGTCGCGGCGCGTGTGAGCTGCAGTCAGGAAATGGCCGGCTCGCGCCGACGTGAGAGACGCGTAGAACAGCAGCAACTGCCGCAGCGGCCGTTGAGTCAACACCGGAAGCAGCGGCGGCAGCAGCGGCGCGGCGCGCTGGGACTCGCGTGGTGCCTCGCCGCGCTAGCCGCCACGAGCCTCGCCACGCCTTTCGCCGTGGTCCACGCCGTGTCGCTCGAAGCCTCGCAATGTGAGTGGGCGCTGCTTCGTTGTAGTTGGTACCTAGTACTACGTGGCGGTCGCCGCAACCAGCGCCGCTTCCCGTTCCACCTTCTTAAAACCCAGGGTCCACAGGTTTCAAAGGTAGGAAGGATGGTTGGACTTTGTGACAAAACCAAAGGTAGGAAGGATGAGGCAACTTCGGGAAACTTGAGACCCCGGTTTTAAGCCCACCTCCGCCCCCGCCCAACAGCACCACCCCTCCCAGGCGCTACCGCACCCCAGCACCACCACCCTCTCCTTTTTTCCAACCCCCTACCTCCTCCCCCCCCTCTTCCACCCTCCGCCCCTACCGCCGTCGTCTCCCTTCTCTCCTTGCTCTCTCTGTCCTCTCATTCCCCCTCCACTCCAAAACTCCTCTCCCTCGGCTCCTACCAG